CTTACCTGCTTACAATGACTTGCGCAGACATTGGGCTGAGGACATCAGGAAAAATGGAGGCCGCATCTGGTTCCGAGGCAGGGCAATGCCCAATGGAAAACTCGAGGAATTCGACAAAGACGCAACCTTCCCACTACAAGATCTCTCCACGCTCAGATGAGGACAGAAAGTATACCTACTGTATGGCAGACATTGACACCCTCTGTGAAGAACTGGGTATTCCATGGGAAGCAGAGAAGGACATCCCGTTCCAGTCAGCAGTACCGTTCATTGGGTTCCTCTGGGATCTGGAGCGGGGTGAAGTTTCCATCACGAGTGGAAAGCAAGAGAAGTATCTCACTGCCATCACAGCCTGGGAGGAGAGCACAAAGCACACCTTGGAAGAGGTGCAAAAGCTCTATGGCAAACTCCTCCATGCTTGCCTGGTCATCCCAGCAGGACGTGCTTACCTCACCCAGCTGGAGGCCTGCATGGGCATCTTCCACAATCGTCCGTACGTACCACGCACCCCACCACAACATACAGCAGAAGATATACGCTGGTGGAAGGAGAAACTCCAAGGACCATGCATCTCCAGACCCATCCCCTGACCAACCCCCATCATTGACCTCATCGCGTACTCAGATGCAAGCTCTGAAGTCGGCATCGGCATCACGATTGGCCAAAAGTGGCGAGCCTGGCGACTCCTCCCAGGATGGAAGGCAAACAACCGAGACATCGGCTGGGCAGAGGCAGTCGGTTTCTTCTTCCTGGTCATCACTCTCCGCAATGCATGCCATCACCCGGGCATCCACTATGCGGTCTATGGAGACAATCAAGGAGTCGTGGAAGGATGGTGGAAAGGTCGCAGCAGGAACTGGCCAACAAACAGTATCTTCCGTATGGTACACACATTCTCGCAAGAAAATAGCCTCACTGCCCACACTAGATATGTTCCCAGTAAGGAGAACCCAGCTGACGGCCCTTCTCGTGGAGAATATGGCACGACGCAAGACCTCCTCCCTGCCATCAACATCCCCAATCACCTCCAGCACTATGTCGTCGATTTCGACACACCTCATATGCCAACGGAACTCCGCCTTGCACGAGAAGGCAAAGCAGCCCTCGCCGCCCCCAGGATCAGCCCAGCCACACGACTCCTCCAACGCCAAAGCACCTCAGAGGGCCAGATCCTCCATGAAGAAGAAATCCTCGCCCACTTCCAAGCCAGCAACCAAGCGGCACCGCTTCTCTCCAGAGCACCGAAGCACAAATGGAGGGCCAGTGCGTGACCACACACGGGCTCGAGCTTCACGAAAACCTGCGCCGTACCCTCCTGACCTCACACCAGTACCATCCACACTCCGCCCACACGTCTTTGCTCAAGAACGGCTTACACGTTGGAGACCAACCACGGTCCGTACTGCCACTGACAACCAGGGCCGGCCCACCCATCTCTCCGCTGAAGACCTGGCCCGCATTCTCGAGGTAATGGCCGGGGCGTGGGCGGATGGGACTCTGGAAGTCTATGGGACAGGCCTCCTCACCTGGCACGCCTTCTGCGACAAGAACAGAGTTAGTGAGGATCAGAGGGCCCCAGCCTCACCCCTCCTCATCGCCTCTCTCATAGCCACCCTCTCAGGTGCTTTCTCTGGTGGCACCATCGCCAACTACGTCTATGGCATCCGGGCATGGCACATCCTGCATGGGGTCCCATGGAAGATGGTCGACCCTGAACTGGAGGCACTGCTCAAGGCCGCAGAAAAAGCAACCCCACCCACGTCAAAGAGGAAGAAACGCCAGCCATACACAAAAGATTTCATGGTTGCTATTCGCGGTCAGCTAGACCTCTCAACGCCCCTCCATGCTGCCGTTTATGCCTGCTTGACAACCACATTCTGGTCAGCTGCCCGAGTTGGTGAGTTCACGGTCAAAAACCTGACAAGCTTTGACGCAAACAAACATGTCAAACCCTCAAACGTTACAACCACGACAGACCAGAACAGCTTCGAAACAACCGAGTTCTTCATCCCCTCCACAAAGTCTGAACCCACCAACAGAGAGACAGTCTCATGGTCGAGACAGAACGGAGACACAGACCCGGAGACTGCATTCCACAATCACATAGATGTCAACTCACCGCCAAATGGTGGCCACCTCTTTGCGTACAAAGTAGGCTCAGGATACAAGCCACTGACAAAGCACAAGTTCATTCAAATTCTCACCACCGCAGCACGAGCAGCTGGCCTAGAGCCACTTCAAGGCCATGGGATCAGGATTGGGTCAACACTCGAGTACCTCCTGAGGGGGATTCCATTCGATGTGATGAAGCAAAGGGAAGGTGGGCAAGTGACGCCTTCCTCGTCTACCTCAGGAAGCATGCCCAAATCCTCGCACCATACATGCAAGCAGACCCAGTCCGCCAGGAAGAATTTATCAGGCTAACCATGCCTCCACTACGCCGCCACTAATCAGGTAAGCAACCCCTGTCATGCTCCTAGCAGAGTGGGCTCGAGACTCGCTCGATGCGTCGCAGGACTCCTAACAATTGGGAATCGCGCTCATCTTGGCTTCTTTCACAGACCAGGAGCTCCTGCCGGGCACGAAAGCCTTCGGGCTTTCCGCCCATATATTACATCCAGCACACTGCCATTCCATACACCTATCCCTCTTACCCTAGTCTACCATCGTTAATCTAATGCTGTCACTCGCCAGACCTGCCTCAGCGCCATTCATAGAGGACCATTCAGGGCTCCCATCCAATTGCCTCCATCGGGAAAACCATTCACACGTGAACAATGCTCGTCTAATTTTAGTGCCCCGCCAACGACTACCGTAATCGCTATAATTTCTTTTTGAGTTTCCAGCAACATGCACCGGTATCGAGCCAATTCGAAATTCGAGCAACAGCCTGTGACACCGTGACGCGAACAACAGGTCAAAATGCGAACCACAACTGGCCGGACCGACCGTGATACCGAGCAGCAAGCCCCTCCTAGGCTGTGAAGCGGCCTCTGGAGCTCCAGATTTGGCTCCTAGTCGCTTTATTCCGACAGGAAACGACCGAATTCGCCCCGCAGGGGCGGAAAGGAACATCTGATCGACTGGGAGAGAGGTGCATGTACCGGTGCGTGCACCTCCCGATGTACCTCATGTAAGCAGGGCCTCGGCCGTCGGTGCGAGGGCGGCGCACCTTACAATTTGTAGTCTCGTCCCCATCCGGCGTGGGTTGGATATAAAAGGAAGTTAAGCGATTCACAATGTGAGGGACGTCACCACGCCGTCTGGTGCATTTCAATCAGGGAACCTACCTTACATAAGAGCGTGACATTGTTGAGGGCACGTGTAGCGCGTTTAGGACGCGTCAGGCCGTTTGTTTGGGCCTTACCTTCCTCCTTGACACACCATGACAGCTTCAACGGCAGCCTACACTCGTGTGAAGCAGCGTTCGTATCGTATTCTTAACAACATACGTCGACAAGCTGCACAGAAGTCAGGCTACGACTCATCTACCACCTGCAGCCTTGGAGGTTTCCACCAGCACTTGATAACTCCTGGAAGGTGGGGACTACGAAGTAGCTCGAATCTTGCCATGACGATTGCAAGCATTGTCGCCCCAGCTCAGTGCGATAAGAAGATCGGCGGGGCTGACATCAAGCTCCTCCATTGTCTCGAGGAGTTTGAGTACGCGGTCCATGAGAGTGCTATTGGTGCTGTCATCGTTGGTGCCATTGTCCTCTCCTGTCTCGGCCTCATCCTCCTCTCCAGCTAGCTCTTCCTCTTCAATCGCTGTTTCATCCTCCTCGCCTTCAGAGTCACTGTCATCTGGGGTGGGACTTTCATCGAAATCGCGGGTGTCAAAGAGCCTCTCTTCATTGGTGGCCATTGTGGTTGGGGATATCACTGGCTTACCCCTCGCAACGTATTGTAACCCATTTTCATATTACAATCAATTTGCGGCAGGCGGGATGGACAGGAGTAGCACTTTTCTGCTACAGTTCTGCGTGTACTCTTAATGAGATTACATGCATTTTTCCTTGTAAATATATTAATGAACCACTTTCCAACATTTCTCTCTGCGATACAACATGACTTGGAGGCACTGTTGACACGCAAATTGTCAAAGATGACTGTCGGCATAATGAGGCGGGACTTGTGGCACAGCTGCGTGTGTGACATCAGCACGTGTTGTGACAATGGAAGGTTCCCTGATTGAAATGCACCAGACGGCGTGGTGATGTCCCTCACATTGTGAATCGCTTAACTTCCTTTTATATCCAACCCACGCCGGATGGGGACGAGACTAACAATTTGGACCTTTTGTGGCTCCCGCCACCGCTGCTTGTTACGCCCCAGGCATCGCCCGTTACCTCCCCAGATATTTTTCTAAATACTCTATGACATAGCAACGTAGGCGCACAATTAGCAAACAATTACTTTATTTTGTGATCGCCTGTCCCCTCATGGACACGCTAAGCGCCCATGCGCTCATTGCATTTTTGGCAAAAGTGAAGTCGAATAAAAGAAGGACCTGGGGGCATACTTACATGACGGTCCGTTCTGGACAAAAATACATGATTGAAGCTTTTTTTTATGAGATGGCCTAATTTAGGCCGGAACCTCGCACCTCGCACCTGTGACCCAGTCGATGGAAAGAGGGTTTTTTCTGGAAAACCCGAGTTTTCGGACCAGTTTCGGACCGTGACACTGGTCTTGAGCGGAACCACAACTCCTCGCTGTGACGTGACAAAATGTCTCCGGAACGAGTTGGCGACTTTTAGCCCTCTGCACGTGATACAAAGACCTTACATAAACACATCAAATCTACGAACCAGTTCGTGTGGCCTGGCTGGACTCGTAAATTTCGTGAAGTCTAAATTTCCAAACACCAATGTTTATGATTTTCACTGCAGTGTTGAAGGGCAGGCATAGCAAGAAAACTTGATATTGTGAGATATACTCTATTTTAAGCAGTACACGGAGGTATATACGTTGCGCGGGGACTGCGACTCTACGATAGCAGCCACAAGTGCCACAACGCTGTCATTACCCTCTACAGCTACAAGAGCTGGCTATCTCCTCTGTCTTTGATTCTGACGTCCCACTACATGAGTTTAAGGGTCGTATAAGGTACCCGATGGCACTAGCGCCGCGGCCTACGAGGCAGACGACGACGCGAGACGACACCCGCGGCGGGACAGACGGCGGTGGCGCGGGGGACCTCTTCGCGCTCCTGGCATGGCCTGTGTTGGCAGGAGAGGGGGGCGACGCGAGAGCTACGAGATGGGCGTCATGTGGGAGAGCGGCGCGGGCATAGTCACTGTTCGCGATGAGGACGACGACGCGAAGATGGTAGTAGGAGGGAAAAGGGAGATTGATCTGTTACGCGTGAGATGCAAACGGTTCGCGAACCAGAAATGTTATGTAATGAACCATGTCACGTGCAGAGGGCTAAAAGGAAAAAAAGCTTCCGGAACCAAGCAACACCGAGTCGTGACGTGACATGTTGAATTTTAGCGATTACAGTACCTCGACATATACGTCCTCACACCTCCAATTACTTCTCACCTCCATTATGTCGACTATCGCTATCAACTGCCTTATTTCTGGTGACGACCCTGACCAGATATTCACAGTTAAGATCTCCTCGAACGAGAATGTCAGCATCCTCAGGGGCATTATCAAAGGGGAGAGCCAGGCACTTTCGAGTATCGATTCAAAGGCAATACGACTCTTCAAGGTTTCGCTTTCCGATGCCGACCTGGAGCAAGCGCGAGATCCGAGAAAGATCGACGCCGCACAGGAGCTCTCCTCACCGCTCGCAGAGCTCTCAGCCATCTTCAAGGATCTGCCAAAGGATAAAATCCATGTTATTGCACTTGCGCCCACTGGTGAGCATCGCGTATTATTTTCGCTGTTCCTTGACGAACAATGCCAGGCACTGGAAACCACCAGCGACCTCCCTCACTCTCGCCAGAGCTGCGCAAAGGTTCGGCTCATAATCATTTTCTGTCCATGGTTTCACTTCTTAAGCACTGCCTCCAGAACTTGAAGCGGCATGGACCCAGGAATACCAGGGATCAACTCATCAAACCCTGCTCAGCAACATCCAATCCGATCCACGTGGATCGCCTTATTGCAACACTGGGGCCATCATCCAGTCATCTGGATACGGAAAGTCTCGTACGGTCGACGAGCTTGCCAAGCTTGTGTTCACTATACCAATGAACCTTCGGGCCGAAGCTGAAACTCAACAAGGTATGTAGCGTCGCTTCTCGAGTCCTCGTTCTTGACCATTAAACTGTCCGAACAGGCGCATACCCTCTTCCAGACACATGCATTGCGAAGTCGATACTGTCAATGGCCAAAGCGACTTCTGACGACGACGTAGTGACGATGTTCCACATACTCTTTTGCACCTTGTTCCAACGGATTGTGGCAGAATTGAATTCCATTGACTGGGCTTCGGACATCCAAGCCAAAGATTTTGCTACTCAATGGCGAAAGCATTTGCTGGAGGATGGTGTTAGGTCCGAACTCTATTCCAGCGTTATTCGTGATGTCGAGCCACGATTCCGAATGGACCTACCATCGTCAGCTAAGAGCGATGCAGTAACAGCCTTGCAGGAGCTCATTAGGCGAATCCCAGTTGCTAAAGGAAAAGCTCCGTTGTCGGTTGTGATGTATGTTGATGAAGCCCACGAGCTCGACGTCCGGGCCATAAACTCAAGTCGCAACTCAACACTCTACGACCTCTTCACCATGGCCGTATCCGAGTACCATGGGGACTTCTTTGTTTTGTTCCTCTCTACAGTTTCACGGATGCGCCAACTTGCCCCCCGAACCAAAATCACGCGCTCTAATAGGACCGTTGTGGCCGGCGATCTCATACCCCCCTACACTGAAATGCCTTTTGACTGTCATCCATCATTGCCGGTGTCGTCTCTGGGGGAGTTGACTCTCAAGGACGTGCAGGATTTCAGCTTCATTGCCCGATTTGGGCGTCCCTTGTGCGTATCTCTGTCTAATGTCATTCATCCACTGCTCATCTCACTTGCCAAATCAGATTTTGGTCTATGCTTGAAGCTGCTCGGCAGAGCTCTCCAGAATCTCCTCCTCATGCAAAAATCAGGATCTTTGCTCTGCAAAAGTTGACCAACTCGGCCCACATTTCAGATTTGAACTCGCATGCAAAGCTGGCTATCCTCGACACCATCTTAAACCTGGAGTTCTACCCTTTCAGAGCTCAAACAGTTTCGCTGATGGAGGACCTGATCTCCAGCCATATGCGTACTGCCTATTCTACCCCGATACATCGAGAGTATCTGCACACAGGTTATCCGTCGGAGCCTGTGCTAGCAGAGGCGGCCATGCAGGCACTGTACCTCACCGAGAGTGCAAGTAAGAGGGATCAAGATGCGGCGGCCGAGTTCTTCTCTTCCCTCGATGGTGGGAAAACAAAGGGCGCAATTGATATGGGTCAACGAGGCGAGAATGTTGCAAAAATGATACTCGTTCGTGCGTACATGACCGCCGTGAAGGCGGCTGATATGCAATATTATGGCAACCCCAACTGGAGCTCGGGCTGCTCCCTGGTGACATTTTTGAAAAGCTTGACTGGGAGGAAGTTCCAGGAACTGGTATTGGACTGCAAGCCCAACAACCTGCTAGCTTCCGAAGGACAGCCCCTGAAGGAGGCCTTTGCGAGATCTTGGGTTCGGTTCACACATTTTGGTCGGGCAGCAGATGACGGAGCAGTTACTACGTCAGCCGCTTGCGCTGCTTTTGTCCGAGCAATGAGCTTCATTGGCTGGTCGTCACAGAAGTCGGTTGATGTCTGCATTCCCATTCTTCTTGACATCGACAAACCGATCACCGAGGCCAACATGTCCTCCATCCTTGTACAAATCAAACTTCGATCCAAGAAAGGTTCTTATGAAAATGATGCGAAGAAAATTGGGTTGTTTCCTCCCCCAGGATCGTCCCGCGATTGCATGAAGACGAAGATGGGTGTTGAGTCAGAAAAATACTTCAGCCGACCTTATATCTCGCTGGTTATGGAGCTTGGGGTCGGAAAACTCCGCGACACGAAATCTGCCTTCGTCCAGAAACACTTAGATCGAAACTCTGTCTCCACAAGCAACAAAGTGTCTCCCCCTCGCATAGGCGTTGTAGCTCATCAATCACCGACCAGAATCACCTCTCGTGCCACCCCCAAGGCGATTCACCCTCGATACTCTCTCTGTTTCTATGGCTGCACAGCTGAGGTTTATGGATGCATTCATGAGGCTGCGGAGAGTATATATGAATCACTTCTTCAGCTGTCTGATATGGTTCCGGACCATCCTCGACCATCCAGCATCTCAGTGGTTCTACGCATGAAGCCCTTCTGGAGAACTAACAACGAATCATATGATTGGTTCAACGATTCATGGCTTTGGGCTGATGAGAATGAAGTGGAGGAGGATGCAGTCATAGAGCAGGAAGAGGAGGATATGGTGCTGGAGAAGGTACAGGAGCATGTGCCAACCAGGTCTGAAGACGAGAAGCAGAATTCGGCCATGGTTGTGGACTAGCTTGGCTGTTGGGTGGATTTGTCCTGAATGTACTATGTACAAGTGAAATTGAATTCCCGGTTGAGATCAAATTTTCTTGTGTTTCGAATGAGCTTAAAGATTTGTGTGGTGAAACCAACTTCTGTTATGTGAAAGAAACTCAATATCATTGAGTCAGAATTGCACAGACCAATGTTATTCCCACCACTGACTGACAACCAGGCTTTCTGCAATGTATCCGCTCTCGATGCTGGCATAATCGGCCTGCTGGACGAAATGTTCATTTTATGAATGCGAAGCCAGGATGTCACCACCGCTCCTTCCCTCTCCTTTCTGCTCCAGCACTCTCAGAACGCCAAGATGCTCGTATTCGATCTCGGAACACGCAAGGACTGGGTCAAGTACACGCCAGGCGTCATTAAATTGATAACCGGCAGGAGGTACCCCGTCCAAGTTGACCTCGATGTCGTCGATTCCCTGCAGAAGGGCGGTACCTCGCCCACAGAGATCGACTATGTCTGTGTCTCGCATTGCCATTGGGACCATGTCGGCGACACCACCCCATTCGCAAAGAGCACCTTCCTCGTGATGCCCAGTCCCTCTTCAAATCCGGCTACCCAGAAGACCCAACCTCGCATTTCACGTCCGGCCTCTTCCCATTGGAAGGACGCACAAAGTTCCTTAATCCAACTTATTGGACACCCATCGGACCCTTCCCTCGTGCACTCGACTTCTTCGGCGACGGCAGCCTCTACGTCGTTGACTCCCCCGGGCACCTCGTGGGGCATGTCAAGATCCTCGCCCGCACGTCGTCCGACGGTGGGTGGATCTATCTCGGGTGGATCTATCTCGGCGGGGACAATGCACACCACTGAAACCTCGCCACTCTCGAGTCCGAGATCGCGGTGGCGAATTTAGGGCAAAGTGTTTTTTGTGTGCACATTGACAAAGAGGCGGGCCAGGAGCACCTGCGTAGGATCAACGAGATTTGGAAGACGCCGAGGGTGAATGTGCTCGTCGCACACGACGAACCTTGGTATCGCGAGAGTAAGGGTGGGCTAGCGTTTTGGCCAGGTAAGATTCCTTCCAAGTAACAAGCGCTCTCCTTGTATGGCTATCTTCACGCCACCAAAAGAGTGTCCCTCAAAGACTGTACTACGAACAGAAAATCATAGTCGATTTGCGATTCGTCTTCCAAGTCCTTTGCTCTTTGTAAGACGAACATACTCTTATATCCGAAAACACTGGAGGTGCTTGCTGTCGACGACAGCGAGCAAAAAGCCTGATACCCACCCAGTCAGCAACGAATAGCTGACAAACTTTGCCAAAAAAAAAAAAAAGAGAGGAAGGGCGAAGGCTAGGGAGAGGTCGTTAGGATGCAGGGCTTCCGAGCAAAACACAGGCTACCAAAGACCAGATATATGCGTCCACTTGAGAACGCAGACGCCAGGCAGCATCCCACCTCCTACATTTTCAAGGCCGAACGTGAGTTGCCCGCACCTCACTCATCGCAGCGTCCCCGCACATGCGAGCAGACATCTGCCGCCTCCAGCCGCAAATCAGGGGGCATTGCCCTCGAGGTTGGGCATGTGGGCCTTCCCAGCAACCTCATCCTATCAGACGCACACCCAAACAGCAAAGAAGTCATACCACCCCTATGCCTCCTCCTCATCCACTTCTTCTGCTCCTCCAGGGGATCCATCTTCAACCTCGAAATCCGGTGCGACCTCGAGTCTTACCCACCCACCGTGCGCGAGTACTTCTTCAGCGGGCTCTGACGTTGTCGAATCGTCGGTCAAGGGCGGCCTGGCGCAGGACAACGTCGACATCGTGTGTATCTTGCACTGCCGCTGGGAGCACATCGCGCGCTTGTACAGAGCATATTCGTCGTGGGCGGCCCGTGCCAAGCGCCGTTTGTTGAGGGCAAGGCGTACCCGGACGACTCCACGAGCTCGTATGCTTACGACCTCCTGCCGCTGACCGGACGCGATATCTCGCAGTGGAGGCGTGGGGCCCCATTGGGTCATTTCCCCGCGCATTTGACTAGTCCGGAGATGGGAGCCTGTACCTCGTCGATAGCCCTGGGCATCTCCCTGGACACCTCAATGTCCTCGCGCACGTCGGCCGACGGCGCATGGGCGTACCTCGCAGGCGACAGTGCGCACAGTTGGAAGATAATCACCGGAGAGTCCGAGGTAAAAGTAGGCGCCCCATGGGATCCGCACTTTTGTATACACGTCGACAAGGAGAGGGCAGAGGGGCACACAGTCTGTCCGGGCGTCGTGGAAGGTGCCTCCAGTGCAGGTCATTTTGGCATGACATCCCTTGGTGCCAGGAGAACAAAGACGGGCCAGCATTTTGGCCGGGTCATACCACATCTTTATGATACACGTTGGCAGGATCTAATCCCGCGTCTGTAGGAATACATGCGTGACTTTTGAATGCTTGTATAAAGCGATACATCCGGACAAAAAATGGTACATTTCTGAGAATATGATGAACTAGGAAGCCAGAGAGGATGCAGGTAATTTATAATGAATAGTTTACTGGCTTCTAGCGTTGAATTTCACCAACTGTCGACGTGCCTGGACGCCTTCACGGAGGCGATCGAGTACGGGGACTGTCGCCTGCCACGAAAGACAGGCGTCAGTTACAGACTGTCCGTACTTGAGACCTGCGGGCCCAGATGCGGGAATATCTTGACGGCCCTCCACCAGGTTGCTCTCGATCATGACCCCCATTATGAAGGACGACGTATCTTCTGATTCTAATTGACGTGCCTAAAAATAGTCGGAGATGAGTATGATATCAAAACATGGCACAGTTGAATTACAATATCGTCGGCCACTTCAGCTTGTTTGTGGTGTTGCTTTGAGCTGTTTCCGTGGCTGCAGTCAATCTAAGATAATAGACTCAGGTATAACGCACAGTGTACTCTATATTGAAATGATGCATACCATGATTTTTTGGGGTAAACCGGCCTTGACTAGCTTCTGACCGGCATCACGAACGAATTCAGCAGCATAATTCGGACCCGACGAGCCACCGCGTAGAATGACATGTACGTCTGGGTTGCCCTGTGAAGCGTAAAAGTTGTCAGCAAGGAGCCGAAAGAAATGTTTTGGATGAAGCTCACGGTAGTCTCCACGATACTGCTGAGCCCTTCTTTGCCCACGCTCAGAAAAACGTGTCCACTCCTGGCAGCGCGGCAGGCATCGATGGCAATTCCGACGCTCCCATCTGTAGAATTTTTGAAACCGGTGGGCATTGACAAAGCAGACGTAAGCTCGCGGTGGACTTGCGATTCCGTGGTGCGAGCACCGATGGCACCCCAAGAAACTAGATCGGCGGTATATTGAGGGCTGATAGTATCCAAGAACTCGCAACCAGCGGGAAGACCGAGTTTGGCGACATCTAGAAGCAGGGTGCGGGCAATGCGCAGGCCTTTGTTGATCTGGAAACTCCCGTTGAGATCAGGGTCATTAATGAGGCCTTTCCAGCCCACTGTTGTACGAGGTTTTTCGAAGTAGACACGCATGACTATGAGGAGATCGTCCTTCGCAGTGTCACTGTATTCTTTCAGGAGTTTGGCATACTCGACGGCAGCATCGACGTTGTGCACTGAACAAGGGCTGCAAATGAAGGCTTAACATGAGGCAAAAGCCTGGTGGTAAGAAAACGTACCCCACGACGACAAGAAGCCGGTCATCGTCCCCGCGGAGGATATTTTCAACGGCCAAACGGCCTTGAAGGACAGTCTGGGCAGCAAGCAGGGTGCTTTCATGAAGGAATCACGTCAGATGTGATTGTAAGGCAAATAGAGTGGAAGTTTACAGTGGGAGATCTTCCTGGAGGATTTGGGGTGGAATTAGCGGTCTCGTCGACTTGACGCGGCTGTTCTCGAGACGAGAGAGGGCGTCTCTGAAAGACATGGCCATGTTGAGGTCTGCCACTATCGATTGAGCGGTTATATAGGCTTCCATCGTGGGATGATCTATTGGGACGCACTTTGGAGCAAGATGTACGCCTAGTTATCCGGGCAAGGCTGGCAGGGATCACGAACTGGATGGAGCAAACCGGACAGAACGGGGTAGCTATGGATTAGGACACTATCCGTTGGCTACAGGGGGCTCTCCGATGAGGATAAGGCTGCCTGTGGTGGTGTTTGAGCGAGACATAGAAATGACTCCGGCCAAACTGCACGCCTCAAAAAATTATGCACGTGATGAGCCATTCCAAATTGCCGACACCGTGTTGGGTCTTGGCCAACTCCCATCCTCTGTCATTGCTTTCCAGTGACAGGTCCTCTGCTTTCTTTCCATCGACTTTGTTTTACTTTCGCTTTCTGTCTGTAATGGATTTCTCGAACTTCAACGCGGCCGAGCAGGCCCATATGACCAAGGTTATCGAAAAGCGTCAGGTACAACTTCTAGCTGGCGCGAGAGACGCGCAACTCACCCGTTCCCAGATGCAAGACTTCCTACGAATGTATTCTAACCTCGTTGAAAAGTGTTTCAACACGTGTGTCAATGACTTTACAAGCAAGGCCCTGTCGTCAAAAGAGGTCATTCCCGGCCGTTCTCTTCTGACGCGTGCTGGCTAAACTCCAATCACTTCTCAGGAAACATGCATCATGAACTGCACGGAGAAGTTCATTAAGCACTCAGAGAGGGTCGGAGCGCGGTTCGCAGAGCAAAACGCCGGTGCGTATCCTCGTTAACCCAGGTTTTTAATATGGTTCTCACTATCCCGGACAGAGGCCATGAGCGCCCAGAACCAGTCATAAACCTCCCGACGTTCTCGGTTGAGACATCTATACACCCAGCTCAGATACAGTCCTTACGATATCCCCCCCTAATACAGCTCGATTGCATCGGGGCATAGACAAACTTTCTGGCTAAGAGTCAAGACTGTCGAGCCTATCCCTCGCGGCAGCACCAATGTTCAAACGTTCACCTGTGGTAGCAATCTCTGCGTCAATTCCGGAGGTAACGAAGACTGAGTGGCATTGTTTAAGTGTTTCTGCACCCAGTGGCCACCCGCGTTTCAGCCGCAAAATCTTGTCGACCTAATCAGAAACGTCCTGCCGGTCGACTACCGCAACTTTGGGCAGACAATCTTTCAGTCGTGTTAGATACAATCTTCCTCTCATGATACATTCTGGCCTTGCTCGACCTACAATCCAAGACCACTTCCGCCACTTACCAGCTATGCGGAATACCGAGCTTTTCGTTGCGCCCAGTGATGTCCTGATAACGTCGACCGCCTGGCCAACCCATCCCCGGAACCTTCGGAACCTCGTAACGATGCCCCGAACAAATAAACGAAGCTGTCAGGGCACCAATCTACCCAGTCCCGACGATGATAACCTCGGTGCTCGGGTCCTACCTTGATGGATCTTCCTATCTGTAGCAACCCGCCTTTCTTCCCTTCCGCCCCTTTTCGTCGTTCTTCCCTAGCGTTGCGCCTGGCATTCTGCTTGGACGGTGCACTTCAGGGCCGATGTCAGCAGAAAGTAGTCGTCTACCTCCTCAAAAAGGATCCGAGTGACGCCTAGTAGATTTCACTCGTCAGGCCGACAAGAGTTTAGTTCTAATGCGTATGACCCAAGGATTGAAGTCGCTATTGCACATGGCTTTCAACAACAGCAACGACACAATCTTCTAGGCAAAGTCTTTCGAGGGCGGTTCGTCGTACCCAGGAGTCTAAGTATTGTGTGTGGTATACCCTTTTTTGCCTCCGTCTCCGGAATTTGAGATATAGCTTCTCTTGTTTCATCCCACTCCGGGTTGGGCACCACGTAGGTGATATGAAGGAAAAACCTCATCCTCCTGCTCAAAGAGATTCTGTTGATTTCCTGACCAAGCCGATCCTAGCTCATGCCAATGAGCAGGACCGTTGTCTTGGTAGTAGCCGATTATAACCCGTATACGAAGTGTCAGAAAGCCGCAGAAGGGAGGTCGAAGAATTTGTAACGTGTAAGTTATCCCGGGGAGAATGACATCCTCGACGCTCCTCTAAGAGTGACGATGACTCGTAATCATGGACATCGTCCTAGGTTGATTACTACTTCGAAGCTTTTGTCATCTGGGTGACACCGATGGACGAGTCAACAACGGGTCACAACAAATATCGTGCGAGGTCCTCACTCGGGTTCGCGCGTAGCTCACTGATCCACAACTCCTCAAGAGATTCGCAGGGAAGGTCAACGACTCTCTGTGACGCAGCAGCATCTTCGCGCGGATTCGTGCGCAGATAAGGCATCTGCCAGGAAGAAAAGTCCACAATTGCACGTTTAGTTGGACTGCCGGTGGTAGAAGACCCATCAACTGCGACCAATCGTCAATCTCAACTCCAATGTGGTTTCTTCAAGGAGGGGGGGGGTTTCGAATATACTTCGCGGGACGTCGTACATCCACAACCATATTGACCAGTTCCTGTGGAAGGGCGAGGGAACGGGGAAGCTGTATGTGCAATGAAGAGAGGAGGTGGTGCTTGGGACGGTAAGATGGCTCGACGTATACATTGAAAGATCTGCGTTGAAGCCTGGGAGAAATAAAGGCGGAGCTGCCTTTCACTTGAAGGAGGAAGGGGATTGTGGGCGCCGCAGTGCTGCAGGTATCACCTTAGATCATGAGGATTCATGATCGAAATGAATAGCTTGAGTGGGAAACTTTTGAAGCCCAACGCCTTGAAGTAGTGGTAAAGAGATAGGGCGACGATCAAGAGAAAGTTCGGGGTGTATCGTCCATTAGTGTACTCCTGTAGATTTCCCTCCCAAAGTTTGTTTGAAGTGCGAGTGTGAACTGCACTGTACTGGGATCATGTTATACACAAGAGACAAAATAGGACATACGGACTAAATCGAAAATGTGTCGGTTTGTAGTTGAGTCGCAAAGCTCCATGAGCGAAGCCGGAACTCATTGTTACACAAGACATGCCACATATTCTGGGGTAGTCGGCAAGTGATAAAGTTCGTCGACGTTGTCACTGAAAGCCTGGAGGTGGCTTCACCCCATAATGAATAAGGATATTGCCATTAAGTATAGCTTGTTTGGGGCCAATTTCTCTCAGCGTAGAGAAAAGTGCCAGGACATCGTTGTGATCAAGGATGTTAGTGCCAGTTCCGATATCGTCCGCTATGATATTCTTGATCTCGCTTGGCGGATATTTATATAGGTGTGCCAGGATCCATTCCCTGTAGGCAAGGTATCGACGTAAGAGAAGAACGGTATTAAAAAAAATAGAACCGAAGCTACCTGGTCAATTTCTCCTGCTGGCTCGCCTCCTCTGTCTTATTCATCCTGCGAAGCATGCGAGCCATGTTAGCTCGAGCCCATATGAGATTCTTCTCCGGCATCTTTGGTATATCACCGAGGTTGCTGAAGGCCTCAGTAAATGCTCTTACGCTTCGTTCTTCTTCGCCCTCGTGCCTGCTCAACGCAACACCGAGGAAGAGCATCGGGATGACAGCTGTTTTATTGAGCCTTCGCCGATGGGTCTGGGTCAAGGGTGCTACGGCCTCAGCAATCCTAGTCGGGGTAGAGTACTAAGGGAACGGGTGTAGCAATCATGTGAGGTGAGCATAGACAGCAAAATCGTCTTTCACACATACCCGAAGGCACTTCCCAAGCTGCCAGCTTGCACCATCGATCAGCATAAACCTTGCGTGCTCCTCAGCTGCCGAATTTCCTTTAGGAAGCTAAAGGGCGAGGCAATCAGCATAGGTCTCCAGTCAATTGGGGGGAAGATGCTTGACTGCATGAGAAGACTCCAATTGGCTCTCCAATTGACGCACAATCTTTCTTTGGAAAGATGGAGGGAAATTGGGGAGCTTTTCAGGGAGGTCTGGAGAATAAAGGGACATGGTAGTCCCGTCTGGTAGGGTTATGTTTGGGATTTGAGGTGCAGACATGGAGGCTGCTGGATTATGTGGGGTAATCTGTGGCGAGAATCGGGGAAGTAGAAATGTTTCAAGAGGTCGCCATCCTACGCTACTCGTGTCCAACAGAGGAGCAACACGTTTTGATACGACCTGTATCAAAGCAAGGTTGGACCAGATGGCGGTTTGGCTGTTGTGAAAAGGCCAGGAGCTGTAGTTTGCGAAGAGGTTGAGAAGCTAACTTTACGTCACTGTTTCCCAAACAATAGACCGACAAGCCACACACCACAAGACAATGCAAAAGTGACGACCATTGGCGTTCCGAAGGAAAGATGTAGCATAGTACTTATACAGCTGGGAGCGGGCATAGCTGGGCATAGTCGGAATCGATACAACATGGTGTAAGACGTTCTGTACGTGTGTTACAGCCGCAACGTGGTGGATAGATGTTTCTGTAGATGGAGGAAGAGAGGTGAAAAGAGAGATCGAAGGAATTAAACAACAGAAAGTGCTTTTTGCTCTTGTATGAACAACGGCGCCGGAAAAAGGCCTAGCTGAGATCACTTGGTCAGAACAATCTTGTCGTCGAGAACCCATTGATTGGGCCCCAACTCTCGAAATCGGCTGAAATGGGCGATCACATCTCTGTGGTCGAGTATATGGGCTCCAGTACCGATGTCATCAGCGATGGCGTTTGTGATCACGTTAGGGAAAAAATCTAAGGAATTGTTCACAATCCACTCTCTGAGGCTACATATCAGAAAAAATTGAAGTCTGGAAAGGAGTCGATCACTCGTTACCTAGTCAGTCTCTCTTGGATACTCGCTTCCGCATTTCTCCCCATGCCGCGAAGCATTCGAGCCATATTGGCACGCGCCCAGATAAGATTCTTAGCCGGAACTTGAGACGAGGCGTGGAGGTTATCGAATGCTTCCTTGAACGTCTTGAGGGCGCGTTCCTCTTCTCCTTCTATCCTGCTTAGGGCAACTCCCAGGTAGAGGGTAGGAATGACGTCCACTTTTGTACCTTTGTAGATGCGTCTATGGGCTTCAGTGAGGAAAGTCAACGAAGCAACAGCCTCAGCAATGCGAGTTGGCATCGAGTACTGACAAAAAGCAGGCTAGTTATCGTGAAGAGTTCAAAGTGGGGAGTTGTTGAAACGCACGCGGAGGCACGTCGCAAGTTGCCAGCTGACTGCATCAATGAAGACATGTCTGTCTTGGTCTTCCTTGACTGTCTTTCCGCGGGGCATCTACGACGCCATCAGCACATACCCCCGCCCAAAAAGGGTAAGGGATAATACTGCATGAGCTTTCTGCAAGAGGTCCTCCAACGCTCGAACGAGTTTCCTTTGCACAGACGGAGGCAAACTTGGGAGCTTCTCAGGGGGGATACCCGACAGGATGGAAGGAGAAGTCCCGTCTGGAAGGGTGATGGTTGGTACTTCTGGATACTGCATGGCATGCAGAGTGTAGATTGTGGCGCTGAAGTTCAAGAACTATCAATTACGTCATCAATACCTCTTGCCTCTTGACCACAGCCTGACAGGCTTTCTCATCATCCTCTATGGCCACCACAGCTTACCATATCTATTCTCACTACGACCCAAAGGACCGTGAAGCCCTGGAGAAAGAGACAGGGCAACACACTGACGAGGATCTTAGTCCCGAGGAAGCATGGCACCGCGAGGCATCGCGGATATCGCGCCAACGAGGTCCGGCACCTCAGTTTGTGCCAGCGACGATTTCGTACGATGAATGGAGCTCTGGCCAAGCAAGTATATCCCAATCACCAGAAAGCAGTTCGAATGCTCTTGGGGGCAGCTTATCTGGATGGTATCGGTCCCTGACAAGTTCGCGTTCTGGAACCCCGGGGTCCGCTACACCTGCGCCGCCATCTACCCAACAGCAGCATGAGGAGAATTCTGACGCACTCGCCACCTCTCTTCCACCTATCCCCTCACACGCTGGTGACCCACCTTTAAAACCGAAAGAGCGGCGGAACAAAAACAACTGGTTTATAATGAAGGCCATTCAATCGGAACCACCACCTTCCGTGTCGACGCCTACCCCGAGCCTCGCAGATATTCTTGCCCGAGATCCTCCGCCATTTCCATCAGATAAAAAATACACACCACCCGTCTGGCTCGAAATAGGACCCTCTAACAAGGGTTTTGGTATGCTCCAGCGCTCAGGCTGGAACGAAGGGGAACCCCTTGGCCCAGATGTCGTTCGCCGCAAGCCGATCGAGGCTGTGGTATTCGACGGCGATATTATCCCAGCCTCCAGCTCGAAAGGAAAAGGAAAGCTGCGGCAGGAACTGAAGGAGGTGAGGATGGAAAGCTTTGACGACGTGAGTGAACTACGACGAGTAGATGTTATCGATCTTACTCAGTCGGATTCCGAACTGGATGACGAGCCAAGTCCGACCGTGCAAAATGAAACTACTGTCGAAAGAAAAGTACCTGGAGCAGCACAGGGCCCTCAACCCTCAGCCCAGAGCCCTATGCTATCTGACGGTAGCCCTGCCTATGAACGGAAGGCCCTTCTCACCCCGATTGCCACTGTGCTAAAATCGGACAGATTGGGCATTGGGCTCAAGGCAAAAACCGTAGGCAGGTATAAAGCCTCTCAGAAACGTGTTACGCACAATGCTGCGGCATTGGCTGCACACGTCAAGGCGGCGGAGGAAAACCGGAGGCGACAGAAGCTATTTGGACGCGGAGCTAAGGGCTTCCAGCGACGACACCAGGCAGAGGAGGAAAGGCGGAAGGCGATGGCTGCTTATCTCAAGAGTATATGACCCACAGACTAGACGTAGAGATTCTTTATATCCAGACCTAATGATACATTGGTAATTTGGTTATTTAACAGCCATGAAAAACATTAAGTTACATTTAGAATAGTAATCCACGCAGATTGTCAGGGACATGAAAGCGAAACAAGCTGCGAAGATTGTCTCTGAATACGAGGAAGAAATCTATGGTATGTAAGGTGACAAACGGCGACCGAGAGAGAAACAAAATCCAGTTGAAAGAGGGAAAAAAAAGATCACGGCGTCGAGGTCGGTTCGCCCCACACGCCTTTAGTCGACTCGCATTTGACAGAGGCGACGTACATGCGCAACCACTGGACCATCTCTTTGCTGATCTGGTTGCACCTTGTCACATCGATCATGCGAATACGCTGCGGAGCTGCGAGCAGGGCGGATTGACCAGACTGTAGGGTCTTCATGCGCTCGTAGGCTGCAGCTGCGGCAGATGCTGAAGACATGAGTGCCGCTCCGCTGGTATGGTACCGTTTGTACGCATGGGGGTCGGCTGGTAGCCGAGATTCAACGAAGGCTCGGAGGGAGTCCCAGTCGAATGATGCACATCCGTCAAGGGTCACGGATTCAAGGCGGGGGCAAGCCCAAGGTTGAGACGACGAAAGAGCCTAAGCAAATAATGAGCATTTTGCAAGCGTGAAAGAACTGACGCGTACTCTCAACGAGATATAGGAGACTTCCTCGATGTCGATGAGCTGTAGAGTTACCAAAGACGGTAGCTTGCGTAGCAAGTTCACGAGTTTCATCTCGCCAAACACGCACGTTTCGATCCGGAGGGACTTGAGCGGAAGTCGGGTTAATGCTTGGGCATGCACAGCTTGCAGCAAGGGGTTGACGTTTTCCAGATACGCCATATCCAGCGATTCGAGATTTGGGAATGCTATCCGGTTCATGATCTGCTTCGTGTGTCCAATGCCCGAGTAATAGAGCGAGAGCTTCTTCAGTCGCGTCAGGTGAATTTTATGGGTGACCGGTAAATCCATCTCGTGGATGATGACAGCAGGGGAGCAGGGGTTTGTTTCGACATCGGTTATGTTCTTTAGCGCCAACTCTTCCAGTTCCGGGCACTGTCGGAGGATGTCGAGAAGCGTCGATGTAGAAGGCGAAGACGAATTAAGATAACCTCCCAATTTAAGCACGCGCAAACCCGTCATTAATTTCAGGTCCCACCCGAAATTGAATGACGTAAGGGAGCATGAACGCAAATTCGGAGTGGATCCGCTGAACAAGGAGTGAGGGGTTTTCGAGAAATGGTCGTCTTGCAGCGAATTATGCACGAGGATAGTAAGGTCTTGGAGCATGGGCGCTTCTTCCTGCATGCGAATTAGAGCGTTGTGTGCATGGGATCGATTCGGTACCGTGAGGCTGAAGGATTTAATGCGCCACAGCGCAGGCCGGAACAGGTCCATCGCGTGGGTGATGTGCTCGCTGACGCTCTGCAGATAGTCTATCCGGGGACCGAAGTTGACCGTGACGTCGAGTGGACACGACTTTGATCGCATAAGCCGCCGCCGTGCTTTCTGGAGGGAGTCGTGCGGGCTGACGGATATCTTCGCCCACAGCACGGGCGTGTTCAACGCCACTTCCGCCCAGTACCGGCTGTTGGTTGAGGTAAGAAAAAGGAATGCATTCGGACAAATTGAGCGAAGATACTTACCACACTAGCATCAACGTTGGTACCATGACGGGATTGTCATCTTCCATCCCGAGAACGCCGATGGTGAATATATTCGACAGAAGCTCGCTCGGGAGCCTGAGAATGGGAGATTGGAGCCTAACTGCTGTTTCCAGTTTCATCTCGAGCTCAGCGCGCTCCTTGACGAGGGCGGTCATTTTGCTGTCGATTGTCGCAATGGCGTCCCGAAGGAATGCAATGGACATGAAGGTGGGTGGACGGGGAACATAGATTTCGTCGGGGGAATTGCAACTTCGGGGCTTCGGCGGTGGGAGCGGCGAGCAGCTCTTCAGCGACGGTCTGCGACGCCTCGGATTCGTGAATACACTTGCGGGTATGCGAGCCTGGGGGTGGGCCGACATGGAGAGTATCCCGGATTTGGTGGGTGGCGTTGGAATGGTATTTTATGCCTTAAATATATGGGACACGCCTGACCCAGTGTCGGAGGCAAGGCTAACCTGGAGCAGAAGGATCTGCATTTTGCTCAGCACATTGAGGCAATGCTGGTCGGCGAGGTGGACGCACCGTAAGTCTGGAGGGGAAGCGGGGCGAAAACGAGCATCTGCTGGGCATGCGGCGGTTTATAAGACTTTGGCGATCGCGTACTGATAAAGAGGTACCTGCTCTTTGGTGGACGGTGGCAGCACGAGGCATGAAGCATGCCGATGGATTTCTCGCAGCTGGACAAGGATCCAGAAAAACCTGATGGCTGACCTGCAACGTGGGATTTTGTAATGAACATCGCGGACACGAGGAGGGCAACGAGGCAAAGCTCGACATTGTTTGCTCCGACCAGATGCCACTCGCCGATTCCCCGGGCCCCCCTGCCCAACATCGCTCACTGCCCATTTGGCTGATTGTCTCTGATGCATCGCTTCCTCGACTCCTCTCGGACATTTCAAAGACTCCCTATATTTCCTACTCTACGTCCTGTTTAATTATCCCACGAAATCACCCGCCACCCGCGCGCGCGTGCACCTCGTCTGCGTACCGGTAATAAGAGAATTGACACAACACCTATGGGGAAATCGCGACTTAGTCTAATCTCCCCCGACGACGAAGAGAACATACGCACGAAGATATCAAGGAAGACAGTACAAGCACTTCCTACAAGGCACAAGTCCGTCAGAGGTGGATCACTTTGCCCCGATTGGTTGGCCTACCTGCAAGCCAGCCTCCGTTTTTAATCAAGTAGTCCTTGTCCATGCTCTTCGCGCAGATTGACAAAGCATATGTTGTGTTGCCACAGATGCTAAAAAAGAAGAGCGCAGGGGATAGACCCTCGCAGCGTGTCTTGAAAATTTTCACTAAATTCACAGTTAGCACAATGCATAGGCGCAGCAAGGCAAAGCTCTGACATATCTGAGGGACGCGTGCACCGAGCTGGAACCGGAAATGTTCAGGCTCAGACCGAAAAGGAACGTGTAGATCCACGTACGAAAAGGAAGGCGCTTGACCATCCTAGAAACTGGATAAACCACCATTTCTTGCCTTTTTCCAAGTCATCGACGAGATTGGTATCTTCCCCTTCGTCGGCTTCGGTGATCCACCAGGCTGTGGTGCCCACGAAGATGACGAACGCCAGTGCGCAAGCATATCGTAAAACCAGCACCTTCGCTGGCACGGTCTCCTCCCGAGGTGTTTCGTTGTTCAGAAGTGGGGCTCGCTCTCCGCCACCCTCTCTATCAGGGTGGATAGCCTCGATGCGATGATTTCTCCAGCGGTAGTAGTAAATTTGGAATAGTAAAATGAGGTCGCATGTTGTGTACTGCAAGTCATTTAGCTCTTTGGAGATATAACTTTGCAAATTAACGCACATATGCGCCCAGAAGAATAACAGTTGGCAGTAGACCGCCTAAGATTGCCCCAGTGAGGTTCGTCAAGTCTCCCAGGAGCCATATGACGACGAAAAGAACGCTCAGGCCTTCGCCCGACTGAAGCACGTAGTTTTCATAGACTTGTGGTGAATAGACAACGATCCTGCAGCGTGGTCAAAGAATGCCGGCGGCAAACTAAATGTCGGAGGAATTCACCAGCATGCGATGGATATCCAGCCAAGCTGTCGGGAAATAGACCTCGATCAGGGAAGAAAAGAAGTGTAGAGACGAACATACGATGCTGCTTAGACTGTTGCTGCTGAGCATGGTGGCATAGAGAAGTAAGAGAGGCTATGTATAGGTGGCTGCATCTTTCGTGAGTAAAACCTCCTATCGACACTGCCGCTTGCGTTCTGGGCGTTAAGCGTGACAGCGTGTCATTGAGTGCGTGGGACCTAATGCGTCAGCAGCGAGTCACGCTCCTCGGCACGATGCGCGTCAGAGACTCCCTCCGCCGAACGAGACCACCAGCGGACCACCATGAATGGCCAAGAAGCTTTCCGCCGCCTCACAAAACAACTCCGCACAGCTGGTGGTGGACCCCCAGGCGGCAAAGGTCTCTTTGCCGGTAGTGGGCTTCTTATTGCACTCGTAGCAGGAGGCTTCGCGCTCAATTCTGCTCTGTACAACGGTACCTACTTTCTTCTTCTATTTGAACGTTGACGCGACGTATGTTTGCAGTGGATGGTGGTCATCGTGCCATAAAATACAGCAGGTAGAACGAGTTTTCGATGTTGCTTCGTTTCGTTCCCTAATGCTAGAGCTCCCAGAGTGCACGGAGTCAAGAATGAAATTTACAGTGAAGGAACTCATCTGGTGGTACGTGCACCACGTCAATCCTCGTACTCATCCTCGCATATGTTTCCAGATTCCCTGGCTCGAAACACCCATCATTTTTGACATTCGCGCGAAGCCCCGAAACATTGCCAGTCTGACTGGCACAAAAGGTGTCGTCATACCTCGCATTACCAGCAGGCATGAAGCTGAAAATTTGTTGCCCAGATTTGCAAATGGTCAACATCACTTGCCGTGTTCTCTCTCGACCTGGGATTTCATCACTCCCTACCATCTACCGCGAGCTCGGGAAAGATTATGACGAGCGGGTGCTTCCCTCGATCGTTAACGAGGTCCTGAAAAGTGTCGTTGCACAGTTCAATGCAAGCCAGCTTATCACGCAGCGAGAGCACGTACGCACATTCATCCGTATCTTGTTTATATGAGCAAGGCTTATTGAAATCTAGGTTTCGCGTCTCGTTCGTGAACATCTGACCGAACGAGCAGCGAAGTTCAACCTCGTGCTCGACGACGTCTCAATTACACATGTAGCCTTCTCGCAAGAATTCACGCATGCCGTCGAAGCGAAGCAGGTTGCCCAACAGACCGCCCTTCGTGCTGCATACCTCGTCGACCAAGCCATCCAGGAGAAGCAGGTCCGTGTTCCTTTCTTCGTGACGAGACGGTTGCATGTTGAACCGAGATTGCCCTTAGTCCATTATCATTCGGGCACAGGGAGAGGCTAAGAGTGCTGAGCTTGTCGGAGAGTCGCTACGGAAGAACAAGGGTTTCCTCGAACTGCGTCGTCTGGAAGCTGCCCGTGACATCGCGACCCTGCTTTCACAGTCTAATAACAAAGTCATGCTGGACTCGCAGAGTCTACTTCTCAATGGTAAGACGATCCTTTGTGACGTCGTCGGTGCTTAAGTGTTTTTCTCAGTGGCAGGCAAGGATGCGCAAGATCTCCTCAAAGTTCAACCCAAGTAATTCTTGTATTTACGACATGGTATCTAATTCAATGCGGCATTCCCATGCTAACTACTGTCTTCCTTTTGTTGGGGCGGCGACCTGGGTGCACCTGCGGCCATCTCAGAATATGGGGTTATCAGGGACCTAAGGTGGACTCGTGTATAGGATGCTTGTCCTGCCTGTAAGAGCAATTCTCCTCCGTGAGCCAGAGTCGGTAAGCACGTAGGAGTGTAAACGACAACATCGGAGATACCTTGCCAACCTTTCGGTCGCGATGTGGGTCTCCAGGATCTCGAGAGATTCCGTGGAGTATTTGAAGACCGTCTCCCGATATTCTGTTGTTGATTGTCCCAGTCGTGACAAGTAGCCACTCCATTTTTCATGATGAGCGTGTATGTGCCTCTCAGACGAGAAGAAGCAGAGGGAACGAAGCGCCAAATGTGATCGTTTGGGCACATTGAAGAAGTCTTCATTAATAAGTACTCTCACGTGATCAAGTCAGACCGCAATTACTTATTTCAAATTATTTGTGGACCTGTCACCTCACAAAGTACCTTGCACTTCTCGCTTTCTATCGGCTTGAGCGTTCAGACGTTTAGGAACAATCATCGACTTTTTTTTTTGAAAGTCCTAGAAGGAGATCCACTCTTTAACTATTCCCGGCCTACTAGTTCAGAGTCGACCACGATCTCTCTCCTTCCTACGAGGCCCTACAAGATTTCCAGGCCGGCACTCGACTCTGAATATCAAGCTCTCTTGCCGTATATTCTAGCGGGTCTTGTCGACGCAATGCCTCTGGACGGCCATGACTATCTTGTGAATCAAGGGTGGAGCGGCAAAGGCACTGGCCTTCGCCATGGGGCGATCTCGCGACCGTTGGCTATCCCACAGAAAAAAAACCTCGCAGGACTAGGGAAGGATCGCGATGAGGCCTTCCCATTCTGGGATCAGTAAGCTCCTTCTTTTGCTTCTCGATCGCCAACATAACGCTCTCACTTTTCGTGACAGTCTGTTCTCAGCAGCTGCGAATTCCATTAAGCTTAAATGCCTAAGCGATGAGGAAGACGAGGAAGAACAATTGGTACGTGGCTCCAATTTCTTCGTGACAAGCCTCTGACGCCCTTAGTTCTTCTTGCTTGAAGTCAAATAATGTCGAGATCAAGCGCACTTCCACAGGCATCTTCTCCACCCGACGGCCCCTTGAAGGCACGCCTGCGACTTCTGGCTCTTCCACACCGAATCCCGACTCAGACCCTCAGACTCCACGTCTCAGCCTGCTTGCAACAGCGAAACGAGATGCTGCAAAGCGAGGACTGTATTCAAGGTTTTTCCGAGGCCCTATTATTGGCCCAGAAACTCTCGCAGCGGAAGAAAAACGACTAGCCTCGCTCGTCTCGGATGCATTCGCAAACAAAGGTCCAGATGTAGAGCGTGTTACGGTGAGAGAGCATATCGAGATCAAAACGGGCGATGAGAGTGTCATGGTCGATCTTGAGGTATCTCAATCGTCGAAATCTTTGAAGCGGAAACGAAAATCCAAAGAGGAGGAAGTCGCTGCAGAGGTGGAGGAGAATAAGGAGGCAAAGCGAGATAGAAAACGAAGGAAAAATAAAGAGAAGAAGACTGACGAAGAAGACGGAGCTTCCTCGAAAAAGGATAGAAAGGGGAAGAAGAAAAGGGAAAACCGGAAGGACGCATCTCTTTCCACTCCATCCCCTGAGGATGTCCCAACGTCAAGAAAACCAAAGAAATTCCGCGACGCTCGCATTCAAGAAGTGGCTGAGCCTCGTCCATTGGCGACACAAAGCGAAGAAAGATCGGAGCGCGAACGGAGAAAGAGGTTGAAGGAAGAAAAGAGGCGTCTGAAAGACAATTTGAATTTGGAGGTCGGAAAGGTCAAGCACAGTCAAGACTCTTCGTGCTCGATCGTCTCAACCCCCTCATCAACCGATGGTCCATCTCAGAAGCAGATAAAATCTTCTGAGGCTATAGACGAGTTGGTCGAAAATAGTGGCAAAAAGGAGATGAAACGGATGCATCATGACGACTGAGCGCAGGTATGCCTCCTTCATTGCGCCTTGTTGCAGCTTGATATATCCTGCATCTTCTCTCTTCCTCACGTATACGCCCTCCATATATAGCGATTGGCTACAACTTGAAGATTATTCAATCTATAGGTCCTTTATATTGTCAGTGAGCTGGTTTGTTCTGCCTTGTACATAGGCAGCTTTGTCCCGCAATGGACGGTGTGTAATTCTTTTGCAATTATTATGACCCCCCAAAGGTCGCGAACACCCTTGGTTTTTGCGGGGAAGAGCAAGATAAATATGCGCGACGCCCCTAACTATCTGATTATGTCATATTCCTCCTTTTGGGTGCGACGGTGGACTTGGTGGCGGAACAACTTGACTTGGACCACAACCATTATTGAGCTGGCAGTGCAGCTGGGAACCACACGTCTACTTCCTTGTCGTGACCTACGATGGCACCCTCAACTTCAAATATGCCTCCCAAACAACCAGCACATAACCCAAAGGATACAGAGGCCGAAGAGCGGAAAAGGCTGCTAGCAGACCGAGATGGCTATGACTCTGACGACTTTGACCAACCCGAAAGCAAGCAAGAACGATGGTCATCTCGGAAGATAGCTATCACTGCCTCCGCTCTTATTGGACTCCTCATTACTGGCACGTTTGCTCGTACAATGCTGTTTGGCACCCCTGGTCGGAGGCACGATTCAGACGATCCGACGGTTCTTTATTCGAATGGGACGGAGGGGTTTAAGCGGACAGTGGTTATCGTGTCTATTGACGGCCTACGGTATGCTTTGCCTGCCCCGCATAATCTTGCGGCCGTGCTGACTGGTCCTCAGGGCTGACTACCTCGATCGAGGTTTAACACCGCATTTACTGGCTCTGAGTAAGAAGGGTCTTCGCGCCAAATCTATGAAGCCTGTGTTCCCTGTAAGAACCTGAGTATATGTTGCAACGGAACGCTCAATAACCAACGATTTCTAGACTCTAACATTCCCGTGAGTCCCAACAACTCTTTTCCGTCCGCAATATCTGAAATTATCTTCGGCTGGCCACAAAGAAACCACTGGGCCCTAATGTATGTTCACTTATTCGCCGGAATCTCGTAAACTGACATCCTGTATCCTTTAGGACTGGTCTTCACGCGGAATCTCATGGCATTGTTGCGAATGTGTGTTTCGACCCTGCCTGACCCACTTATTTCTCCCTGACACGCTTCTTTCGTCAGAACTTCTGGGATCCAGCATCCAAGGAAGAGTTTCATTACAACCGCGTATCATCTGCTTGGAATCCTGCATGGTGGCTGGGAGAACCGGTATGGTACTCGTCTATTCCACTTGTCCATGGTAATCTCATCTTCTCGCAGATGTGGGAAACGGCAGAGAAAGCTGGTCTTCTCACTGCAAACCTCATGTGGTAAGTGGACATCAAGCGGTAATCTGGAAGTATAACAAACGAGATATAGGCCCGGCCCTCCAAAAACTTTGACTGGGGCGTCTCCAGCCTATTTCGTCCCCTGGAAGGTTCGTCTCTACCGAGGACGTCGGGTCACTTTTCTTACATGTTTTTGAAGGATAAAGTGCCTCTCCGGGAGAAGCTCGATCAAATTCTATACTGGATCGACCTACCGCTTGAGACAAGACCGCAATTGATTATGGGTAAGGTGGCCTTTCCCTAAAATGACCTTGTTTCTAATAAAGTAATTATAGCGTATGAGCCTTCCCTCGATCAAGCCGGCCATGCTACTGGGCCTTACTCCAAGCAGGTCAATGTAAGAATGGTGTGGGTTTATGTTCGATTGGAAGCTAACCTAGATGATCCTAGGAAACCCTCGTTGTTGTGGATCGGTTCGCGAAGGACCTGCATGACTCTCTGGAAGCAAGAAACCTCACCGATATCGTCGATATCGTTTTCGTCAGCGACCACGGAATGACAGACACAAGCCACCCAGAGCCAGTATACATAGATGACATCCTAGGTGCTGACGGTCTGAAAGCTATCGAACATGAAGACGGCTGGCCATCAATGGGATTGCGATTCCACTCCAACGCGAATGCTTCCAAGTTCCTGCATGCCCTCGTTGAGGCGTCAGAGGCGAACCCAGAGAAGTTCGAGGTCTACACGCGTCAGACGATGCCTGAGAGATACCACTTCTCCAAGCACGAACGTATTGCTCCGATCTACGTCGTGCCAAAGATAGGATACATCCTGACGACTCGCGCGGAAGGTGATGTCGGGATGAGCAAAGGTGTAAGTGGCTCTAGATATTCTAGAGGTGACCCGACTTAATGGAAAGATAGAATCATGGATACGATAACGACGAGGTCTCAATGCAGGCCATGTTCGTTGCGCATGGCCCTTTCTCAGTCAAGGCGAAGGCGCAATATCAGAGAAGGTCCCAAGACAGCCGCCTCGTCGCCCGAACTAAGAAGGGTTGGCACTCGACGTCGCACGATACGTACATTATGCAACCGTTCCGGAATGTTGAAATCTACAATCTTGTAATGAAGCTGCTAGGAATCAGTGACAAGGCTGCTCCAACTAACGGCACGATTGGTTACTGGGACCAATATCTCTAGCCATATGCCTGTATCAGGTAGACACTCTGCTTGCCAGGCCATCTTGATTGTACTTCTGTGTATTATATGTTGCTTAATCAATCAATAGATTTAAATACGAGGAAAGTGAGTATCCACATAAGAAAGAAGAGGAGAAACTTGAATGAACTGAATAGTACTGCAGAATAGCCGGAACCCAGGTCGATAGAGCGCTGCACATGCACACATTTGCCTAATGGTGGTCAGCGTCAAACACTGTTTGGCTTGATGGTACGTATGCTGCATCGGGCAGACCAGTCTCGTCAAGCCCCTCGGCCGCCTCGATGATCTCGTACAGTCTTGAGGCAACTTCGGGAGGAGGTACGCGACCGCCCAGAATATCTTTCGCTGGCACAGGCGATCCGTAGAAATCACGGTTAGCATCTTTCCTCTCGATCAAGACTGTTCCTTCCAAAGAGACACCAGCAAATAGGCCTGCGAACATCGTGGAGTCAGTACCGGTCACAATTTCCCGAAAGCATCGCCACGCACCCTTCGACTTCGAATACGAGAACATGGGTGCTGGGTGGGCGAGGGACGCCTGCACGCTGCCTCCTGTACCGATAGGCCCCGCCGTTGCACTGATGTTGCCCCCAATCGTCACATTGCCGCCAAGGGAGAACGCCCGCACCGCGTCTTCGCTGTTGAGCACGATCACAAAATCGGTGATATCAGCACCGATTTGTAGGCCCCATCCCACGCCTCCCGTCGCGATGCACGACGGGGCGGACCAGGATCCATCTGGGAGCCGAGCGATGACAAGGCCAGAACCTGCTTTACCGGAGAAGACGAAGCCTGCTTTGACGACTTGGAAGATGGCGAGACCTGTACAAGGTGTAAGAGAGGTGAGTCATAGAGAACGGGTGACAAGGATGAGGGCTGCGCACCTCGAGCTCTTTCGAGGACAGCCTTCGGGATAGAATTAAGCGCCGACTCTGGTCGCTCAGGATCCGCTACGCAAGAATATAATCGTCAGAATGCTGAGGAAAGACAGACAAGGCCAACGTACCCAGGAAACTATCAAGAATCTTCGCAGCCTTGTCTGCCTCTCCTGGTAATGAGAATGTTTGTACAAACTCTCTCGACCCGCTGGCTAACTTGTTCGTTGTTGTGTGAGCGAAAGCTGTCGCTTGAATGCCAGCTTTCTGTGCGCCTTTGCGGAACTTGTCGAGCATAGACATATTTTCAATCACTCAGAAGAAAAGAGGGGAAATCGTGTGCTCGTGAATTGGTAGATGAAAGAGGAGGGTGATTATCAGGAGCAAGAAGGGTCTAGTAGTGATCACAAGTATAGTAAGTACAGCGCAGTCTGCCGAAGCCATGAGCAATACATGTCAATTACGTCATCTTTCGCTTTGTTGTCAATTAGGGGCTCTCAGGCTGCTTTACGAACGAGAGGCACAAAACCGCTTTATGAATACAGCATTACGCCACATGGCACATGCGTGAGCTTACTTATGTTACATTCACCTCCAGGTGTCATTGATCGTAAAAGAGCCAATCGCAGGTGTGGTGTTGGAATTGTTTGGATCTGACTCCCAGGTAACGGCACCGTTAAACTTGCGAATGTACTTGTACTCGAAAATCGTGCTTGCTGGAAGAGTCACCGTAACTGCCAACACAATCAACATGGGGGTCCCACGCGAGAACTGATAAACATTGACTTACTGCTCCACGTTGGGTAATTGGCAGCAGACAGGGCGAGTGCATTGTCCGGAGACCAGCCTTTCAGGGCATCTAGGGAACCTGTGAGGAAAATATTTTCTGTGAAAGGTTTGATCAGCTTCGTCGTCTTTCGGCTCAACGAAACGTGCAAACCTCCAAACTGTGTGGTAGCGAAGACGTTGAAAGTTACTTCAACTGTCGGACCTGTGTTGCTATTGCAAACAGTTGGTACAATAAGGCCACTGGCACCCCAGCTGGCAGGGACAACCCCATCGCGAGCCGCAAAGGCCGTCAAAGCTGAAGCATAGCTCCAGGTCAGGTCAACAGCACTCAACGGAGCGCCAGTGTTTCCGTCAAATTGTTCCGCCAGAGCACCGTTGGATGGTGTGTACTTTGCGTTGATAGCAATGAACCCGTCTGCAAAGGTTTTGATTGCGGTGGTCAGGGTAGTGAAAGTGGGCGTTGACGAAGCATAGGTCCCAGCCTCGATTGATGACGAGAATTGGCGGAAGAAGGCGAGGGAGGTGCTTGTAACCGTCAAAGAACCTTGTTGATTCCAGACGATGAGGGCATCATAGAGCTGCTCAGCGACAGCGGCTGTGGTCAAGTACCAGGGCTGCTTTCTATCAGCACTTCATCCTTTAGAAATTTTAATCGGACTCACATTTCCATTGAAGTAAACATCTTCTGCATAGCGGCCTGTGGCGACGGCTGCATTGGCCGCAATACCACTGTTGATGCCGTAGATAGTGCGGAATGAGTCGATATAAACCTTCAAGCTGGAAAGAGCCTTGTCTGAGCAAGGCTGGAAAGTTGCCGCATCGCATCCGGCAGCCGGATCAAAAGTGTGGATGGAGGCCAAAGCCGAGTTTGCGTCCTTGCCTGATCTTCCTCCCCCGGTGTTGGAAGTAATAAAGCCAGCGGAAGGGTTCCAATACGACTAGACTTGGCTATGAGCAGGCAGAAGGAATGATGAAATACCAGCTCGTACCTGAAGGAAGCAAAGAGTGTTATTTGCCTGGTCCAGATATTCTGAGACAACGGAGGTCTGTCCAATTTTTGACGCGAGAGCTGCTCCTTCGCGAAGAGCTCGATGTTGGGCAGCAGTAGTAAAAAAAGAGCTTGAGGAGACCTCTTCCCAAAGGTCGTATCTGGCAGGATTTGTCACGATCGTTCTCGGAGAAAACAGCAGAGAAGCGACACACGTAGACTGATTCCATAACCTCGCTGTGTAGTCGAGATCAAGCTTGACGACAGGCCAAATGTTGGAGGCCACAAAGGATGCGTTGGAATTTTCGATGAGCCAGTTCGCGTACGTGATCAAGGCCGTTGCGCGGAGAGCAGGTCCATCTACATCCATTTGGATGAGGAAACAGCAAGGCGGTCCGAGCCAGTAGAAAGACATACCCCGTTGGGGCCTTCCCCATGAACCAGTGAAAGCGGTCATGTCGATGTTGAATTTGGGTTCGCCTAGGCCACCTGTAGAAACCGTTCCACTAGGATTGGAGACCTGCTGTAGTGTAGCTTGTGCAGCCAAGAAATCATCAATGGTAGTCCGAAGGGTGTTGTCTTCGCCCCTGGTAAACCTGTCATAAAAGAGAACTGTTCAAGAAGTTGGAGATGCAAGAGATCAAGTGAACGCACTGGTCGATAACAGTTTTGAAAACGAGCGAAGAATCACGCGTCCAGGTGAAGAGATAATCTGGATCACTTGTGCTTGGACTGGCAATCACGATGCCCGCCTAGTGAAAAAGGATTCAGTAACGGGTAAGAATAATGTACCTTCAACATAATCACCTTTGCTCCAGACGACTTCGAGCCCGATGGCCCTATGTTGGCAAGTAAGCCCGCCTTCGCAATGGGGGACTCTGTTGCGACATATTGGTCAACGACACTGGACTGAGCGAGCACCCTCGTGCCGAGACACAGAACGGATAACAACGCAAAGCGCATAGTGCAAGATGAGAAGAAAAAGTTGAGGACGCGAACAAGGAAAGAACAGGACCCGAGCCCTCATTATATAGCGAGCGGAGGGGGGACCTCTCGGTGCGGCTGCCATACAGACATGCGCCATGCCAGGGCTGAGTCGATTCCGTTCTCTGCGATGCGTTTCTCGAACTCTCAGGCGATCGGGTCATATGAGTCGAGCCATGCAGGTCTCTTGGGCAAAGATAGGTAAGACTAGCATAAAATGACCTGTAATGATGACACCCAGGGGAAAACCAGACACCAAAGACAGTTCACGGGCGCATGGACGCCGCTGGAAGAAGCATGTCGCTCCGCTTTCCATCAGGATGTGGGCCTTGTTGCTGGGGTGTTCCCAAAAAGGTCGATCGGATTGTTGCTTCAAGGGATTGTGTATACTTACCAAGTCCACCCCCGATGAGGATTTCGACGGTCAGATGGCAGCAAGATAGCAGGATTTGGGAAGATGCTCGAAGGCTTCAGCAATGCGCGCGATTGCCACCCGACGGACGCATTCAGCGTGCAAGTTCTTTTTACTCCTTGGCTGCGGTAGTATCCCATGGCGTCGGCATTGGTCGGCGTTTTAGACACAGAACCAAGAAGCAGCACGTGGACACCACGAGAGAGTTGACAAACCTGTGATTTAGCCGAACCCCATCCAGTAATCGACTGCTCCATCAATGCATCAGGCCCATCGAATTCCAACAACGGTTTTACGAGCTCTGGATACTTAGATCCTGCCACTCCCAAATAAATCATGTATTGGTACACTTCCTTTTATCGTACATTGGGCGGAATCTGGTTTTTGAGCCAGAACGAGGTACCAGCGGCCACTGGCAAAAATCCCGATGACCGTGACCGCTCTGGTATTGACCCAAGGCTAATTTCTGTTGGTGTTGGCCTCCTTCGTACTAACTGATTTTTACATTTGCGCTGCGATCGTTCTGGAAACTGGGCGGCCTGATCGGACTCATAGGACCGCCTTCACTTCGACTCTACATCATACACGACACGCCCGCCAACCCACGGGTAGGGATAGTTGCGTTGGTACCAGTTACGGAACGACCTCCTTTCGAAGATCCTTGGGATGGTCGCGTATGAACCACCAAGCTGATAACACAGTGTCAGAAAGGCGGGGACACATACAAGTTGTACCACCTACCACAACTTGATGTTTCTGGTCAAAGAAATCCATGGAATATCTACGCGAATGGTTGGTGACTGCTCTTGAAGGACGGAGACGGGGCACATACCCAGGATACAGTTTAGAAGGAACAAACCCGTCGACCGCATCGAAAGTGGTTGATGTCCACTCCCATACGCCTCCATTGATGCCTTTGCCTCCGTTTCGCTCTCCTCCCGTTGTGGCCCTAATGATAAGTTCGCATTTAAAACCTGTCCGTACAGCGTTAACGGTGAAGGGAACTTACGGGATGGGGTGCCAGTTGCGAAAGCCGACATTCGCACCTCCCTCGTAGCCTGACTCGAACTTGTCGTAGAAGAGCCTCAGTTCTGGTTCTGTTGGTAGGCGTCCGCCTTTGACGATCGCATACGTCGAAAGACTCTCATACGATGCAATGACGGGCCAGTCATGGGCAATGTACATCGGAACAGGGTCATAGACAGTTCGTATCTAAGGGCAGGATGTCGTTGGAACATTGAATGGAACGACAATCAGATAATAACGCACCTTGACTTCTCCAGCTTCCTCGACCCAGCTCGAAGGGAACTCCACCTGTTCTTTCCCGCCGTCCTTATAGAACTGGTAGAATTGCCCATTCGTTACCGGTCTCCACTCAATTCTGAACTGTCCAACGCGGACCGATCTTTTTGGTGACTCATTGTCCCAGCCGAAACTGTGGGTCCTGGCATCGCCATCCAGCACGCCGTCCTCTGCTTCGATGTCGTCCTGGCCGAGGGCGATTGTCTCAGGGCCCAACGTAATGGTTGCGGAAGAGGGCAGAGGCGTTTCATCCCATGCGGCGGCAAGCGAAGCCCATGGTGGCAAGATAAAATCGGGCGGTGGGAGGGTGCCAGTGCCCGAGCGTTGAAGAAGCATGTACAGCAGCGTTTCAGCATGCATGGCTTCGTGTTCGAGAGTCATAAACAAGACACGTCCGACTTTGCGCGTCAAACAGATCTTGCCAGAGTCGATATCGTCGTAAAGCTTCATCAACCTCTCGCGAACGACTCTTTGGAACTTCAAAATGGTGGTCAAAGTAGGCCAATCCTCATCTTCAGCAGGAACCTCAGAGTGAGGCTGTCACAAATCGTGTCAGACTTAACTATAAAAATAAAGGATAGAAGAGGCACAGACATGGCATTGATTTGGATCGTCGACGTCAGGGTCAATGCCCCGCTGAATGATTCTTTGAATGGATGGACATCGTATGGGAGGAAAACGAACCTCGAATATGTCCTGCAGAAAGTGGGCATGAAAACACCGTCGCGACGAGTGTTTAATCAAACATACCTTGAAATGCTCAGGTTCGGAATGAGGTTCATTGAGCAGCTTGGACAAATGAATATCTAAAAATGTTGGAATATGGCCGAGATAGAATAAACAAATATGGCGCAAGTCAATGGGCCTCTGGAAGAGCATCGACGGAGGAATCATGCGTAGCGTGATGAAATCCCATGCCGCCCACAGATGCTTCCATTCTTCACGAGATGGAACGCCGAACGGAGACGTCGAATATTTTCTTGGTACTTGATCGGCGGCAAGAGAAGCTGATAGAGTCGGGAAGATAAGAGGAGGCCGCTCGAGAAGCCACAAAGAATATTGTGATTTCGAATCCATCCATCTCTGAACGACGCGAAGATTGGCTTCAGTGAACATCGTATAAGTGTCGGTCTCGGAAAACTGGACATAAAAATGTAGAGCATTCAGGAAATGCAACATGAGTAGAAAATAGCCATACCTTTATTGATTCTTCGATCTTCATGAGCTCGTCCTTCATGAAGGAAATAGTTTTGTGAGTCACAGGGTCACTGACGGTGTGGGCACATTTTGCCTTGAAGAAGGCTTCGTGACGACCTACACAAGAAAGATCAGAAACCAAGAAAGTATATGTTGCTGAGGAGTCTAACGTTCGGCCTGTGGAGCGCAAATTTGTCAAGGGAGAACTTTCGTAGAGCAAGAAACGATGCTTACAACGTTGTAGTGATTAACATATTCCCAGTTCCCCTCATCGAACATGTCTGGATTGCCCAGAGCACGTCCTGCAGCCTTTAAGCCATTGAAGATGAAACGACGCGTGAAACCTTGTTTATCGTTGTAGGCTTCTTCAATGCGGTCTTTCTCGTTGTCGTGATCCAGGCCAAGGAGAAGCGTGTCTCCGGAACCGGGCCGAAGGGGGAGACCCTTCAGGAATGATGCAGCTCCGGATCTAGAGAAGTTTCCTAACGACGACCCAAGGAACATGATATGCAGAGGAATATTGCTGCCTTCAGGTGTTGAAATCGTTGGCGAATCCGTCTCCGACGAGGCATCGCTCACTGAAAAGTCACTGGAAAAAGGCGATGCATCTTGGGAATTAAGTTCGTCCGATGAATTGAGATCGTCGGATACGTTCTGACTGAATAATGCTCCGCTCTCGATGAACTTCAAACCGTCATCGTAGGTGCCGCACATTCCTTTGGTATGTATCTTGCCGATAAGTTGTTCCCCAACTTCGGATCTTGCAATCCCGTTCAGAGTGCGTTCCAACTCTCGTTGTTCAAGATCGAGGGCGTAGTAGGTGATAGGTGTTGACGGCTGCACCTCACCCATCAAGCGAGAGAGGCCTGCTAATATATGAGAGGTTTTCCTCAATGCACTGTGTCAAATGATCAGACTTGTGTACCTAGAATAGCAAGAAAAAAAGGAACGTCCAAACCCCATGGTGTAGGGCGGAGAAGAAGGGGCTAGCAAGGTTAAAAATAAGAGTGGGACTTACCCCGCCCCGAGTTCAACTATAACTTCATCAGAACGGACCTCCACCCCACGATGCATGGTCCGTACGATCTCATCGGCCTTGTTCTTCAGGATCTCTTCCTCGGCTCCAAACAGGTAATACTCTGGAACTTCAGTCGTGATGTCGTCGTAAAGCCTCAGACCACGCTCATCGTAGAGCAGCATGGTGGGCATCTGGCGCTGACCAGGAGGAAGGGAGAGGCCTGCCAGGATCTGTTGGGGAATGTCGGAAACGATGATGCCGTCATTGGAATGGGAGTGAATATCGATGATTTCTATGGGCATGGTGGCAGACAGAGGTGCACTGGTCGTTATTGTCAGAAAGGAACCGGCCCCTGTCGCGACACTTTATACCGCTCACTTTATACCAACTCGGCAAGAGGAACGGTTTCGGATGACGTCATACATTATGGTCACTTCAATGCATTGGTCAAGCCAACATACGTTGGATTGGAACTTTGATGATCCTTTGGGGTCCAAACCTTCCAGGACATATTCCTCGTGAGTGATAGACGATGCCGAACGGCGCGGGGTATTCACTATGTCGATCGCCTGCAAAAAGATGTACTCCAGTCGATAACAATCTCAGTCGACACATAAAAGGCGAAGCTCTGGGTAAAGAATCCTGGAATGACTCAAGTACTCACTCATGTGGCCACCCGAATTCCATATTGGCTGACGAATCACAACATGTAGCCGCGCAGGCCGCAATTTGCCTCATAGGAAAAGGAAGCGAGGCACGGGAAAGAGACAGCGGCGTCAAGATCCTCTCAAAATTGGGGTATCGAAGAGTGGTTGAGGGCCACCAGTATGCGGTCAGCAGGCGTCAGATGATGAGGCCGCTGGTCGAGTTTCGGCTGGGATCATCAGAAGTGGGGTCACGATAGAACCGGGAAACGCTTGTCATCTGGATGCGGCGCACGTCTATTCACCGCGAAGGGTGCGAGTGGGAAAGAAAGAGGATGGGGCCTAGGTGAATTCAGGTGGGAGGTTATGAATGTCTCGCGGCCTATGGCCTCATAGGCAGCATCAATGGCGTCTTCATTACAAACCTCTGTTAACAAATGGATTATTGCAAGATTAAAAATAGTCAGCTACAAGAACGGACGAAGAGCCTTCTCATAACGCAAAGACTTGCCTGGTGATTCGTAAAATAAATAAGGGATAATATTAGTGTATTCATTGAACATATAAAGAGTTGAGCACCAGGTATCTTGTAATGGAAGGTCCGTCTTGCTCATTGGTTGGCATCGGCATCTACGAGTGCTTTCGCTAGTTTTGCCAACATCTCTTCCGCCCGTGGATTCCGCGGGAAGTTTTTCCCGTCTCCTGGACTGTATCACGCGTCAGCATAACATTCAACGAAGAAATACGCGCATGTAAACCCACGACGCGCCCCCACACCAAAGTCGATAGAGCAAGCCATATTTTCCTGTCCAACCGAAGACCTGGGAGAGGTTTTTCCTCCATCCGACATCGTAGACGAGTATCCGTCCATGCGCTGTTCGGACTAGCCTTCTCTGTTTAAATGATAACTCGGGTTCCAATGGTGGATCAGAAAGAGAATGACCACTGCGAGGCAAGGGTGGAAGGTGACGAAGGAGCATGAACGGTGTTATGTTCTCGATTGTGGTCTGATTAGTGCTGTAGAGCACTGGTCAGATCGTGCTATTAGCTGATAGGAGGAACGCATACATCGAAAGATAGATGTGATAAGCAGCGAAAGATCCAATGATAAGAGTGAATGCAACGCCGGCAAAGGCGAGTACAAGTTCATGGACAGGAGTGAATTCGTGCTACATTGGGCGAGATAAGATAGAGTCAGAGATGTTGAAGAGACTACTCACAACAGCGAATGGGTTGTTAAATGCATACCACAGAGCGTGAATAGAGAGCGTCGCTACGTATAGCGATAGAAAAGAAACAGAACACAGAAAATGGACAAAAGCTGGGTAGGTGCGATGGCCCTGAGAAGCAGTCAGTTTTCCTTCGAATTGCCGATGTGGAAGACTACTAACAATGCACTTCGCACCAATCCAAGGACAGTGGTGGTCTGTCCGAAGATGAAGTTAGTCTATGTTTCTCGACCAACAGAAACAACCAGCGCACCCATTTTCAGCACGCATCGGCCGCATATTGAGCAATGGTGAGTTCGCTCTCCTTTAGGAGCCTGGAAGAGAAAGTTTCGAGTTCACGTCCAAAATTGCGAATATCGACTTTTGACTTCCGACTCACCCAACATTTGCGACACCATCTTGCCGGCGAGGAGAAGTCATGATCAGGCATTAGGGCCTCCGTAAGTCCTATCTCTTCTCCTTCTCCGCTTGCTCCCTCCAAACGTGACGGCGGGGCATTGGCAGGGCCGGGATCGCGAGCAACACATACAATGAGGGATGATAAGGCCATGAACGTAAGGGTATAAGTAACCAATAGGTGGATCATAAATATGACAGGCTGATGCATAGTTTGTAGGTGGAAGTCGACGAGAACATAAAGCAAAGATGGATGGAACACTAATATTAAGAACACGGTCACTGTATGAACCCATTCAGAGGTGGCGTGTTTATTCTTCTGCTGCTGGTACTTACCACAGACTGGTACATAATGGTACCAACGTTTTCTAGGCGCGTCAGGGTCAGCGGGCAAAGGCTTCGGGTCGAAAACGATGGTAGACTCTGCTGAGCGAAGTTCGGCGCTGGAGAAGGACAGTAGAGGCTCTGGCGATCTTCTTGCCGCTGACATGGAAGGAGATAGTATCACAAGGGTTGTCGTCAAAAGTAGTCCAGATTATAAAGTACAAAAGAAAGGAGGGTTGTCAGAGCATCAGGTTGAGGACCGAGGTGAGTGAGAGAAAGCTGAAAAGGTCAGATCACGACGCCGGGCCTGCCGTGATGGTCGTTGGCGAGATCGTGCACAGCACTCTTCACGAATTGAGATGAAAGCTTCTTCTAGCTTCCTGCACTCGGCTTGCAAGACATAAAACACTCGTTGGACACTTCCATCCATTTCATGCTCTCGCAATCCTCTGGGCCGGGTTCGGGTAGCTGAGGCGCCGGCGTCAACTCCGCTTAGCGCTCAGGTTTCCTTTCGACTTCCATGGCTCCTCTAAACGCCGCCGTGAAAGTTCGGCCTATCGACGCAAATGCAGGACCGAAAGACAAGGATCGTCATAATAAGCTCTATGCAGGCAACGTTGATCCTGACTGGACAGTTGGGAGGTCGGCTTCCGTTCGTATTTCCAAGCCATTTGGGATCTGATTGTCAGACTGCTTCCAGTGTCACCAACGGCGGTCGGTTCATCTCTGAATAAGGGCAAGCGAATTCTGAATCCCCAAATATTTCACCCAGGATATGCCCTTGCCCTAGTTTTGGAGGCTTGTATGCAGTTCCAGTCAACAACTTCTCATGTCGACCCAATTCATATCACCGCTCACTTCCTGAGGGCGACAGTACCCTCTCCGTTCACAGTCCGTGTTCGGACAGTGAAGATTGGTGCAGGCTTCACCAATTTGACTGCTGACTTTATGCAAGAGGTCTGCAGATCTCGGCGTGAAATAGCTTCTTCGGCTGACCAACTTCTCGCATAGGGAATGACGAAGATTATGACCCATGCCATCTTTGGACTGAATGGACCTTCCCCAACAGACAAGCTAAACTTGTCTCTTAACCCACCTTCTCCATATGCACGTCGACATCCGCTGCATTCGCATCCTTCCCAAGCTCCTTTGAAACCTATGGATCCCAGGTGGAGGTTTCATGAATATGTCAAGTGCACCGAAGAAACGGAGATTCGCTCGAGAAACAGCCCTGATCACCCCAAGCGCACAAACAGCTCTACTGTTGGCGGTGGAGGGCTTGAGTGGGGCTCATGGCTCGAGCTTGTTGACAAAAGCGAGAGGATCACTAACCCCGCCCTGGCATTCCTCGTGGATATATTTTCGAACACTCCAACTCTCTTGCCCAGGAGCGAACGCCCTGGTCTAGAAATAAGGTACTTTCCTTTCTTTGTTAACATCCGATACTTCAAATTTACTCTCGAAATAGTTGGTTCCCAACGATGACACTTTCCATTGAGTTCAAGAACAAGATCCCGCCACCCTCTTCGTCACACGCAGACCGGACTGTTGGCATTTACTCTAGCGGCTCATTTATGACGCCGCCTCAGGGAAGACACGACGTCTACGTGGAAGTTTGGTCTGCACCGACCAACATCGGAGAAGGTGACCCACGGGAGAACTGGCGAGATGACCAAGTCTGTCTAGCAGTAGCCACGCAGATGGCCCTCGCCCTCCCTATGGAGGTGAATGAGAGAAAAGGAAGGTTATCGTTTACGAAATTGTAATTAAAAGAGCTTGTACAGGAGGTTTTATTTCGAGAAAACGTGAATAAGGAAGTCGAATTCCCATATGTCCTGTATAAATGCTACTTTGCAGATAAATATGTAGGAGGCCGTCACTTCCCCAGACGCTTTCTGGTGTCAGCTTACAATAACCAGCGAGCAGTATTCCTAAAGCGCAGGGAAATGTCCAAACATGGGGTTTGATATCAAGGCCTTGTGTTCAAGTTTCATAGGAGAAATACAGAGAGTAGACCCTGCTGTTAATTTGATAGATGATGGACAGATACATATTCAATATATTATGCATATTCAATATATTGACATTGGAGATATTCCACCTGGGGGGAGCTTTCAATTCTGTTGTTTGGAAATGAACAACGAAGAAAACTCACCAGATATACATGCACAATTTCAAAAGGGAGAGCCTGAGCGCCATTCTTTCCCTATTTGTCGGCCGTTACATACTGATACTGGATTGCATGCAGACATTGTTTGGCGATTTCGATACACGGTCTCCAGACCCTCATGACATTGAAAGGTACATGGACTTCCTTGGTATCTTTCACTTCCGTCTCCAAGCATTTCAGTTTCTCGAACAGAAGCAGGGGAAGGTACACGTCCTGCGGAGAAATACGTATCGGTGTGAACTTGTTTTAGAAAGCAGAAGACATACTTTCAGGCAGTAGACAGCGAGATCTCGCCTACTATCTGCGTTTCCATTCTGTAGAGCGGGTATTTGCAAGTAGTCGATGTCCTCTTTCCTCTGTCCAAGGAAATGCATGGAAACCCCATTGAGCTTGTAAATGCCCTCGCCTTGAAGGTCTGGGAACCGTTCCCGAATATGATGGTACACATCCAAAATCAGTCGTCCTTCGTAGCCCGGGCACTCCAGAAAGAGCGTCTTGTCTCTCACTGGCATTCTTTGGGGAGAGGCTAAGGAAACCACGAAATCCCGTCAGTTGGTGTTCTCGAACACACTGATCAGCCAACTCACCTTTGATACGACCGAGAAAAGGGAATTCAGGCAACTTTAGAGTTCGAGAGCGGCAGAGTAGGTATGGGATATCGAATTGGGTAATGTTGTAACCAATGACAACGTCTGGATCGACCTCGACGAAAAACTTGTGCCATGCCATTAGCAAGTCTTTTTCGTCTTCGAAAGATAGAACTTGAGTGCCAGAAATTGCAGAACACGACCCAAGAGTGAAGACGTTGCGGATAAAAGGTACGGCCTGACCTGCCCGACTGTGTCAATGGGCAGGCTAGAGCACCTCAGTAGCACGTACCGTACGTTGTCACCATGTTGGCGATTTGTATGACAGAGTCCGACTTTGGACTTGAGAATCGGTCTCTCTTGTCTGGTATGTTGCACTCGATGTCGAAACTCAATACGCGGAGGGGCGCCATCTTTTCCTTGTTGTCAACGGGGTCGCATATGAGGAGGTCGTCCACACTGCCGGAGATTGGGTTAAAGTGTACATTAGCTCACGCAAATAACGACATACTCGATAGACACCTCCAACTGACAGGTTGAAACCCTCCTTTCTTGTGGCACAATATCATATTTGTCCGAGGGAAGCTTCAGCCAGGTAAACGCCTTGATCTACAACGTGCTGTCAGCGAGGCTGCTGCAAGCCACAAAAAAGGGTGCTTACCTCGCTGTCGATCATGAAACGCAAGAAGTATGGGACAGCACCTTCATAGGTGAGTTCTGGTGAGGTGGATAGTCCCTTGTATTCGCAGTTCCCGGAAGAGAATAGGCGTACTGGCGCAGAGGTAAATGGCAGTCAGCATCCATAGAATAGGTTAGACTTTATCTTTAATATTCCACATAAATCGATGGTCAGAAAGATTTATCTTGAGGAATGGGAGGGGTTTGCCATCGGAAGTTATGCTTTGGTCCTCCAATTCGATATTCGAAACTACTGAACTTTTTCCCTGTACAGTTTTCTATGCAGAGGTGAGCCGAATATAAGGCATGAAAGAAAAGGGGTCCACAAACGTTCAGGTAGTCGCGTAGAGGTTCCAAGTCATTTTGCCGAAAGCCTTCAGGCGCAGGATAATAGAAATAGTGCTCAAAGTTAAGAACTCGAGTCAATATAGAGTGACCTGTCTGCGTCATGGGTTGTAATACCTGCAGCACGTAAACCGCGAACTCACCTTAGTGATGCCGAATAGTTGTATTTCTGAGTGAGCAGACTCAGTATTGCTCTCGCGAATGTCTAGTTTCTGGAATGCTTTTCTGTCTTCGCTTCGAAGTCCTAAGTTTGAGTATAAAGTACACACTGATAGGTGGTTTGGCTTCGTCAGATTGCTGCTGAGTCGGGCGTGCCCATCTGGATTCTTCCTGAGTTGAATCTTAGCAAAGAGTTATCGTCGTTGTTTTGAGTATGAGAAGAATATCTGACCATCATCCTTCGACAAATCCTTGAGGACGTCTGCGAATGATGCTGCTGGCACGATAGGTCTTTTCGACGTGGAAGGTTGTTCCGATTCATTTGTTGAACTTGACGCGTCGGCCATTGTGGATATATAACAAAGTTCTGAAGATATCTATTGCGTGTAGTTGCTATATATCTAGATTTGTGTGTCAGTGAAAGAGCGTATAGAGCTGGCAAACGTGGAGTAGAAAGCAATGGTGGTGGTTGAGGTTGAGGTTGAACTTCAGCGACACACGCGGCCCGAGTGAGGTGTGCTATTTGTAATTGCGGACTGTGGCGATGAACAGGCGTCTTCTGCAACGGCCACTACAGTCAGCACGAGGCTGTCTTCAACCACACCAACTAAATAGGGCCGTCTGACACGATGCCTCCAACTGTGCAGTACCATTGCCCTTGCCTCTCACAATCGCCACTGCCACCCCCACCGCATCTACCTTCATCTTCATACAACTTCCATCCTCTGCACACCCTCTTCTTTTGCGAAGAATGCGATGCTGTCCGGTGTAATCGCTGTGTCTCCATCGAAGTCAGCTCATACTATTGCCCCAATTGTCTTTTCGAGGTTCCAAGTGCAAGTGTACGCGCTGAAAAGAATAGGTACGTGCCGCGGGCGTCCCTTGCATTTTGCATCTCATTCGACGCGTCTAGATGTGCTCGCAATTGCTTCATGTGCCCCAATTGCCGAAACACACTATCTGTGGTACCTTCGGATCCACCAGACGCAGGCGATAATCGGCTACCTATACCCATAAGCTCACTCAATGAGCCTCCCTTCTTTTTGTATTGCAATCATTGTAGATGGGACTCTGCCGAAGTAGGCATCACCTTCGAGAAACCGACTGGTCTTGCTGGTGCGTTCTAAGATGCATGCGTGTCGTTCTGAAAGATTTGATATCTTGTAGCCCAACTGCAGAAAAACGAGGATTCCGCGCCTGATTCCCTGGAGTTTGAACGTCTGAAGGAACACTTTGAGCCTTTCATACGTGCATCATCGCTTTCTTCTTCTACGAACGCCAGTCATCCGACTGCTCATCCAAGCAGCGCGGCGCACTCACACCATCTTCATTCCAACTCTATTACAGCCGCCGCTTCCGCCGCTTTGGCTCGAGATATTCCTGGTGTTAGCAAATACAACCCCCTCGCACGGAGTACGTCTGGACGTCCGGGCAGTACAAAAGACAGGAGTGCCAACAAGGACGAGATGCACGAGTACCGGAGTAGGCTGGATATCGTGAAAGCAAGCGCCCATGGAAGTGGAGGGGGCGAGGCGGACGTTGAGACTATGCGAGGCTTGGAGGACATAGGTGATATCGCGGCGTTGGAGCAACGGTGGATGAACAGCTGGGTTACACCCTTGCTGACACAGTCAGTTAAAACGTTTATTGTCTATTTCACATCTAATTACCCTTGTAGGGAGCTGAAACCATTGCGTATTCCTTTGCATTCAAAGCGGTCGAAACGATGTCCGGCGTGTACACATATCCTCATCAAGCCAGAGCAGAAAGCCCAGTCTGTGAGATACAAGATTAAGCTTGTAGCAGCTAATTATTTGCCAGCAATCAATGCCACCCTCCCACATGCGCAGAAGTCTATGACCGAAGCAGCTAAACGATCGCTCGGGAAATCAACCTCAACGACCGTCGACGATGACAGGAGCTCCGACATGCACGCCGGCAAGACCTATCCGTTCCAGCTGGCCTTGAGCAACCCGTTGTACGACCCAATCCAAGTCAGGCTATCCGTACAACGGATGCATGTATCTACTGCAGCGCCAAAGGAAGGTGCATCGCCAGAGAAAGCTCGCCGCCCGCCTTTTGCAATCTCTCTGCCAACGTCGTCGTTCACAGTGGCGGCGTTTGCTGAAGCCTGGGAGTACGAAGATGACGAGGATATGTTCGGCATTGACGATGACGACGATCTTCCTGGGCGAGGCGGTAGAGAAACGGACGGACGCGGACGGACGAAGACTGTCGGCGTTCTCGAGAAAAGAGCGAACATTACGATAGTAGGAGGTGAGGTAGTCATCGGTAAAGAGGCAAGAGGGAACGTGAAGGTATGTTTTTGGTGCTCTTTAGCGAAGACTTGATGTTGACCTGGTGGGTGAAAAAGTTCAATATGCTGGTCTCCTACACGTACCGCTCGGATGACCCCGCACCTTCGGAAAGCAATGACGGGGATGGTCCTTCGAAGGCTTCTGCCTCGAAGCCCCCTGAAATAAAGACATTCGCCTTCTATAGCGTCGTCGACCTGGGGCAGATCATTCCTCGAGAAGAACCGAAAGCCGATTCGGAGTTATAGGCATTGTCGCTGCAAGCAACGTGGTCAAGTGTGTTAATTGTCATCAGTCCTCAAACTTACCGCTGGCAAGGATCTCCACACCCGTTGCTTTACTCATCCCTCTCTTACTCATCATTCTTCCAACGAGCCTCATGATTTCAACTTTCCTCCCTGCATTTAAAGACCCCATAATCTAGAAAGCAAATTGAACCCATGAGGATGGATCAGCTGGCTTTGGCCTCCTGGCGACATTCAAACGTAAAATCAACAAGATGTGCAATTACCGGTTCTGAAGGCGTCTATTGCCGACCAACGTTGGTTATTCAACCAACCGGTACCGCGAGTAAGGTCCACTCTGCGAGGAAGGTGTTCCAATGATGACTCGATGGCGCTCTCTTACGCCTTCCTTTAAGAGATAGCCATCACGACCGACCATCGTACGGTCTTGGAAAGGAGAGCCATCGGGATTGTGTTCAAGGTACTTGACCTCGTCAAAGGAGTAGAGGACTGGACAGCCGCCGGCGTGGCTCCTGAAGACATTGTCCTTAAATCCGAAGAGTTCTTGTAAATAAGCGCCCGTGCTCTTCGTCCGCCGAGCAATGCCGAACGCCATGTTAGGCTTGGAAGCCATGAGCAACAATTGCCAATCAATGTGAAATATGACGCCCAGAGGCGCGTGCCGCCGGGTCCACCGGCCATGGGGGTTTGGTTTTTCGGAGATCCTTCCGCATCGTCATGGCTCTTGAAAGGATCGTGAGGCCGCCGCTGGCCGCCGACGCTCAGGGCCCAAAATTTCTGTTGATGCATCGTCCGAAGGCCCAGTCCGCATTTAAGCGCCCGCCGGTGACTCCATGTGCCGAGTATCCAAGATCGCGGGTTTCCAATCACCCTCCCGGAGACCCGAGGCATGATAGGGCATGATGGCACAAACGTTGATGACTTTCTGCGTCACTGCAAGATCCGGAAAACTTTCCAGTTGCATATGATGAGGTCAGAGACTCGTTTCGAAATAACTAATGAGAAGTTATTAGGGTGTACACCCCCTTCTTGTCGCTTGAGCCCATGGATATCCTGTTGTGCCTTCGCCAGCCTAGGGGCCCGCTTCTCGGGGCTGCTCGGCGTGCATGATGATGGTGCTACCAAAAATGATTTTATTTTCTCCTCACATGTGAGGCACTGGGACCATACACCCATCGTCCAATCCTGGCTTTTCTCCTGCTGTGTGCCTTCGTTGAGGCGATTGCCTACTATTGTTCACAAATGACGACATCGGATTTGCCCGGAACCCAGGTAGGTTCTCGTCTGCCATAGAGCACGCGCGCTTAATGCCTTCCATTGATCGATCTTAGATGAAAGGCAATCCTGGTTGCCCGATCGACTTCTGTACTTGAGATGGATATCTGTCTGGGTTTTTTCCGGAGTTGGGGCGTCTGGAATCCGTCCAGACACCAGAGTGTTCTTGCAAGACCACTATTCGCGAGGGCTCAAATTGCGTCGAGCCTATGTCCGATGGTGTACAACTTTTGACGATCTGACCGACAAAGTTAACCTCGAGGGCCCCCAAAAGAAGAATTTCCATTAATTGTCCGCTTCTTTGACGTTTAAACAAGCCCCCGACTCCTCTGGGTTCTTCTGTGTACTGGCCGCAGTCGGACATGCTATATTATTACCCGTAGGCGAGGAAGCGGGCGCGGAGGAACGTATGTCCACGCTCTCAAGAAAATTTATGTTTCTCTCCTCATGGTCCTTCTCCGCGTCACAGTGTTGTAACTGTTGTTGACGTCGGGCGGATCCAGCATCTGAACGCTTAAGTCGGCGAGGGCGATTCGAGCTCAACACGCGCCGTGTTTCCGGCGTTGAATGATCGATCGGACTCCCAGGGGGACGGAATCTAGGATTTCGAGTTTCAACTTCCAAGCGCTAGAAGCATTCTCGGATGAGGGTTTGAGAGAGAAGGAATCTAATCGCCCGAGTTAGGATCTGTTTGACTGTGTAGGGCCCAACACGGGCGTCTAGATTGTCATCAGCCATACTGTAATCGCTAAAATTCGAGCAACAGCCTGTGACACCGTGACGCGAACAACAGGTCAAAATGCGAACCACAAGTGGCCGGACCGACCGTGACACCGAACAACAAGCGCCTCCTGGGCTGCGAAGCGGCCTCAGGCGTTCCAAATTTGGCGCATAGTCGCCTTACTCCGCCGGGAAACGACCGAATCTGCCCCGCAGGGGCCGAAAAAGGGTTCCTTTCTGGGAAAACCCAAGTTTTTGGACCAATTTCGGACCGTGACACTGGTCTTGAGCGGAACCACAACTCCTCGTTGTGACGTAACAAAATGTCTCCGGAACCAAGCAACACCGAGTCGTGACGTGACATGTTGCTCGAATTCGAGCGATTACAGTATTTGAAAATTTGAAGGTTGAATGTTGACTGACAACGTCGCTTTCGAAGTGATTTCGGAGAGCCGCCCTCACATTGACTTATACGCCATCTTATTGCGCTATGCGCTGCTGCTCAACTGTCCCCCCGCGCAAGACTCCGTTATCTTATTAATCGATAAATCAACGGAGATATTCCTATTCAGTAACAACTCGATGTCAGCGTCCTTGATTACAAATTCGAAGCCATGTATTCAAGAATTCCAGCAAACCCCTGCAGATACAGTTGGTGCGTTCTCTTTGCAGCTGAGCATCCAAGCAGCCATCCATTTACTGTAATCCTACGCCGCCATGGCTAGCGCTACACCGTATGTACCACTCAAGGCTCATTTCTGATGAGAAGGCGTGATCATCTGCAGTCCTCATTCCGGCAAGTCTCAGCCGTGCTAGGTTCTGGGAACTGTTAGCTTGAAATGCTTAAATTGCCGTAGTTAATACGGAAAAATGCCTATCATGGGGCCTTGCTTGACATATCGCCTCTAGGGTTTCCAAAAATAGAGATCCTGGCGCACACAAGAAATGAACCCACTTCATTGGCCGACGGCCCTGCTTCATTAACAATTGATAAATGAAATAAAGGTTGTCCAAATCATTTCAATTTTCTTCAACAGTCTTCAACACAAGGCAGAAGGGAGCACTGGTAGCACTGATATTGTGCTTTGATTGGACAGTGAGGTTGCTAGGCAGGAGGCGCGTGACGACAGTTGCGTTACGCGCATGCTGTGCATCGTAACGGTTATTTTTCATTGCGCCCATCAATATCAGTCACGGCGCTCCATGTGTGTCGTCCTTGACACCGTTCAGCATCGCTCAGCTCGGTCGAAGGTTCCAACAACGTCGCTCCTTTCTCTCATCACATAGAGCTGTGCTCTTCTTCACTCTTCACCCATACTTGCGGCGCAGGTCGAACGCATTTACTTTTTACGAAGATGTCGACAACAGACCCGATACCCCAGTCTTCTGCCGAAGGGTCCGCAGTTGAGACAGAGAGGAGGCAGCAGGCAGATCCACTGCCGTCGAAGGTTGGAGAAATAGGATTCCAGGAGGGTGTGCATGCCGTACGAGATCGCTCACAGGACGTTCCGGGTGTAGTCCTCCCCGCCCGCCATCCTGCTGACAGAGGCACTCCATCGCCCACGAGCGATGCTGTACCCAGTGCAGATTCTCCCATTCAGCCGTCGACACCCTCCCAAGACGCTGCATCACCCCCTGAATCCATCGTCAAATCATCCAGTCTACTTGGCTTCTTGAAGCCAGACAAGACGATCGGTGGGCTTCACCTCACCACCATCCTCATCTTCCTTCTCCAACTATCTCTGTTCGCCGGGACGATTGTCGCATGGGTCTTTGCGACAAGACTTCTCCTGAACGTTGGAAATGACGGACAGCGTTTGCCTGGGGGCCAATCATCAGCCGTCTTCGTCCACGTCGTTTTTGTCATCGCAATCATCGGACAACTCATATTTTTAGAACGCCGTTTATTCCGCCTGCGAGGGGAACGCTATAGTCATCTCCATCCAGGCGAGCTATTACCGCGACACAGGTCTGGTCCAACCCCCCACACAGGAATTGCCTTCGCGCCTTGGAATCGACCTCCACTTCCGACATACGCCGCGGCACTCGCTCAAAGTGGTGCAGGGACTGGAGATGTAGAGGACCACCTCATCGCCGCCCCGCCGCCACCAGCGTATGGCAACACGCGAGGAAGTACTCTCCTTTTGGCGGGCTTCCTACGAGACAGTCTGCGCGCTCAACGACCTCAATCAGCAACCAGTCAAAGCGCACCAACACCAACGTCAAGACCACTCAGTTACGTCAGTCGGGACGAGCAATGGGAAGAAATCCAAAATGCGGATAGGGCTTTGCGGTTAGAGGAAACGCTCAGTCGGCTGGAGGCCCCCCGGCCAGTAACCACAAGATCATAGGACGCTGCAGGGACGTTCCAGCGTAAGGAAAGCCCAGCCATTGTATTTAACTTGTATGTATTGCGTTATCTTTCTCTCTTTTCCTTCCCTGCATGTGATCTCTGGTCTCGTAAACTGTCCCTACCCAGGACAAACGCAGATAATTGGCCCCCCTTTTCCGTCGTCCCGAGTCTACATTAGCAGGTTTACTATTTTCCTTGGAAGTATCTTTTTACGGTCGTTGAAATGGACACTCTTTGAGTCTCTGCCCTCTGTCGTTATAGGAAAACATACGATGTCCGTTGCCAGTCGTTGCCGCGGCACTAAAGATGTATCGGGGATTCCAATCTTGTGTACCGGATCAGTTGACGAAACGAGTCAGAAAATCTGCTGACCGAGATGATGAAATCCAGGAACGTTTCTTCCTCACCTCCTCCTGGGCTCTCGGAGAACCGGATTCCTCGCCCTCGGAATTTGTTGTTTGTCGTCTCTGTCAGCCAGGTTAGTTCAGGAACAGCCCGACTCCAAGGGTCTCAATGACTCATGTCTAGATTCTTGGAACTATGAAAAGCAAAATGTTTGGGCGTCTGTCGCTACCCCATCCGCCTCCTGCCTGCTTCTCGCTCCTACAATGGAGTTCCAGACTTTCTTGTGCGCGAGCGAGCTCCCTAGTTACTCTCCATCAGTACCAGTCCCTTCGTATTCCTTTGAGCTAGCCTGCGGTGAACAACGACTTGAACACACGCCTCGCGTCGTACATCCACCTCCAACATCCGTCTTCGTCAAGAAAATCGGCCGGACGACCGTCGTCCTCAACGAGCAAGAGGAGGGCGTTTCTGTCCCAACATTCGGCCGTTCAGCACATATTAGTGGCACCGTTTGTTTCGAAGAGAGTTGCAGCGTGCTCGGCGTCGTTCTGCAAGTGAGTGTCCGTCGTCCTTTGTCTTCGAACGTTAGGCTGATAGATCAGTTCTAGGTTGAAGGGAAATTAGATAGCACCATCTCTGAAGCTGGCGGACTCTCCACGAAACTCTTCAACCAGAGATATCCTTTGTGGTCGCAATGCAATTCGCAAGGTGAACCCTGCCCGTCGCAAATCCCGTTCTCCGTCTTTCTCCCACCAACCTTCACTTACAATGGCGCCGCTGCTCCTCTTCCGCCCTCCTTCCACACGCACTTCATGGACGTTCCGGCGCTCTTCGTGAAGGCTTCCTACCAGCTCCGCTTCATCATCACCCGCATCCGACACAAGAAGCTAGAGATGTGGCCAAAAGTTAAACAGTATGTCGCCATCCTCAGTACGGTCAGAGCAATCCGCCTAACGCGTCTTTAACTACCAGCGCGGTGGTGCCTTTCACCTACGTGCCTCGGACGCGCTCCCACCGACCCATCGTAACCAGCCCTTGCTTCTTCTCCTCAGTAAAGACCTCGCCAGAGGAGTGGTACCAGGCTGTGACGAGCCTGCGGACACGTCCCAACGCCAGGATTGACCCAATTACCTGCCATGTCAGTCCCATGATCAAGCACATTCTAACAGACTCTGACAGCACTTTGTATTGGCAGCTCTTCATTCCTGCCGGGCGCATATATGGCCTGAAGGACAAGATCCCGTTCCACGTCCAGCTGTCGGGTATTATCTGCACGCTTAAGGACGTCTTCGCGGGCTGCGTCTCGGGGCTCGACCGTGTACTATCGGTCGACTCGAGCAACACGACCGCGTCGAGGCGGTCACCCGCTGAGAACCCCTTCATCCGGGTGTACCTCCTACGGCAGGTGTCCGTGTCGATGAAGGGCACCAGTGCCTGGAGGAACATAGTCCTGGGCGAGGGTACCCTCGCACCGATTCCTCCAGACCTCTCGAGTTGCTGTTCCTTGACAAGACAATGCCGAGAAGGGCACGTCGACTGGGAGGGCGAGGTCTCCTGCAGAGATGACATCACTGTAGGCGGCTTCAACGCGGCGAACGTCCATGTCAAGGTACGCCTGTCAACCCCAACTCCCTCAAGGTTTCATTTTAGCTAACGCCAAGTTTATCTTTGCAGGACTTTATCGCTCTATCGCTTACACCTCCAGACCGCCGATCCTCTCCGCTCCTGGACCTGCAAGTCACCATCCCTATACGGCTCGTGACGGATTCCTGGACAGATGTCGCAGGGCCAGACGCAGGTGCTCTGGCCCAGTGAAAAAATATTTCTTTCTTTCTTTTTTGATTGATTGATGTTATTTTGTGGACTCATTTCATGATCGGTTTTCTTATGGCACACGCATACCAGGGATACCCTGCACTTTCTGGCTTAAAATTATCCTACAGGATCATACCTTCAACAAGGTTTTACGATTCACAATTGTACGCTATATATTTAACATACCGGTGTACAATCCGATTTCTCAACTAGTAATTTACGACCAATGAACGACATTTACGATAGAGTTCACCCATACAATTAGACGTACTGTTGTAGTATGTATGAGTAGCTACCACAGCCTTTGAGGGCTAATTTTATGATGGTCCGACGCATCTTTACGGAACTTTATCGAGTTAGAGGTAAGTATAGTCCAATAATAGATAGGCGCTAAATTCGTCACTACGAACAACCCGGAAGGTTTCATCCCCTTCCAGTCCAATTCAGAAAGATGACTCGATTGCTGTGGTATTTCGTCCGATGCACTGCGTAGGTATACCTTGGGCCAGAGCTTCTAAAAGATCGCAGCAAACAGAGGCACTAATGTTCAGCTACTGTGAGGAAGGAGCGCTTCCAAAAAAAGCTATGAAACACGAAGGATGAAAGCAAAGCGATGCTAAGGTATTATATCAAGAGCGTAGGATATATTTACATGAAGTACAAGTGTTCGTGTTTTCGTTATGCCTCCCAAGTCGTTTCGGAGAGGATGGACAGGCGGACGGCGATCAACCTTGCAGCACCGTGCTTGTACATCGCCTCTCAGAGGTTAAATAAAAAGAATAGCGTGGGATGCAATGCATCTACCAGCTAGGTTGGCCCGACCTTGCTGCCCGAGCAATGTGAGCATCCACATCTCGGCAGACGTCACACGAGGGATGGCTGCTCGAGAAGAACAGGCCAAAAAAGGACGACACCTCGAAGGGATGCTCAGCAAGGCTCAGTACCGTCTCCGTCTTCGGTATCGCAGGATGAAGAAGATCGCGACGGCCACCAAGACAGCGACGACTGCAACAGCAGCGATGATATAATACAGTGTCCTTCCCGGCCCAGACTTGCTGGTGGAATCTCTGAGGCCGCGTGTCCCAGTGGTGTCGATACCGCCGAGACGAACAGTCACGAAGTCCTGATGGGCTGTGAGGCGGGTGTCAGCCAAGGGATAAAGGGAATAAAACGGCGACTAGAGTAGTACCCTCAGTCATGTTCGTGATAGATAGTAGTTGGATATATGGATCTTCGAGCGCTGTAGAGCCCTCAATAAAGTCACCATAGTCGAACAGCGAGTAGACATTTCGCACTACGCAGTCCGTCAATCAAAGATGCCGGATCTACCGTAAGAAAGGAAGACATACTGAACGCCATCCCGAGGACCATGTCGTAATTTGGGCTCAGACCTCTATCGTACGTGAAAGGCTGGAACTAGACAAAGATATTTTGTAGCCTCGTACCGCCACAAGAAAAGACAAGACTTACTGTGCCGATGCAAGCCCTTTCTCCGTCTGACGTCAACAAGTCTTGCAGGCCAATCGTGGAGAATTCCCTATCGAAAATATCAAAGAAAGTTCGACGCTAGCGTGGTGTTGGCGCCAGACGCACATAGACATATCTAATGGATGCATAGGGTAGAGCTTTCCCGCGAACTTGAAGGTCACATTGACTTCCTGCACACAAGGAAGTACCCAAGCACCTCCAACCCCTGCGATTTGCGTATATTCTGCCCCATGGAATCGACTATAAATCGCATCGACCGCCGAGCTGAGAAAACAAGAAAATAAATTAATACTGCGGTTAATATCCGAGCTTTTGAACATACCGAGGAAGCTGAGGCAAAGTAAACCCGCAATCTAGAACGACCGTGGCCTGCCGCTTGTCCCTAGTCTGCTCCACAACAGAAACCAGAGAAATCGTCTTCCCATCTGGGCCAATGATGCCGTCTTGATCCAGTAGGATTTGCAGGTGCTGATCATCCGATTTCTCGTCGGGTACTTGGGTGATCGCGAGGTGAGGCTCGTTGACGATGCCCTGGTATTCAGGCAGAAGTTCGCCCACGGTGATGCTACCAGAGAAGGCGTCCGTTGGATCTACGACGATCAGCACTATGAAGCCGCCTCGTTGGACGAAGCATACGCACCTTTGTCTCTGCCCAGCAACACAGTGAAGAAGTTGGGTGTTGTACGATTTTGGTGAAATATACGGTCCAGAACAGGTGCGCCAGGCAATGTTCCGACTTTCTTCGAAATGAACGAGCCGGAGCTCGGTCCAAGGCCTGAGAGGAATTTAATTCACGAACGTGTAGCTATGGCGAAGGTAACGCGTACCAAGGATCCCTACGCCCGCTGGGTTTTTATTATCTGGCGGAATTTCCACTGACGATGGAATATGGGTCCAGCAATACGCGCACAAGATGGTGAATGCTCACGAAACGCCTGATCAGGAACCAAATGATCAGCGAAGCTCAGCGGCGCTTGTTTAATTGGGCCTATATTTGGGGTGTGCTTGGTCGGTGTCGGAAGTATGCTACAGAGCGTACAGCGAAACGTACCTGAGACCGAGTTTGCAGCATAGTTGATAGAAGCATTCAACCCCGTGTCATTGCTCTGACCCACAACACCAGCGACCCATAGATCTGAGCTAACATCACACATGCGACATACGTGAGGCGTTCACCACAGAGAGGACGGTGGCACACACCTTCCTGTGTCAATGAGGACCTGGAACGTCTGATTCCCTAGGACGATATCGGCGTAGTAGCTAAGATCAGCTGTGTTGTTCAAGGTGAGTCCTCCCGGCGCTCTTGTGACTAGTCGTCGAGGTGAGTTGGAGAGAGCACCCTTGATGCCGTGGAACTGGATGCTGACAGCTCGGACGTTCTCGATTGGTAGAGTGGAGGAGACGAGTAGAGCGCAGATGAGAGGGCCGAAGGGGGGCCAGGGCATGAGGGAGGAGGCGGGGCGACGTAGTCGAGAGCTGGACCGGTGGATTGCGCGTCTCGCCGTTTAAGAGTGAAGGAGGGCAGACATAAAGCTTGGAGGACGATGTCGAAGCAACCTGGCGTTAAAGAAAGGCACCATTGAGAACCAGTGAAAGCCCTCCCTGATTCGCTTGTGTTTGATTACGACAAGCTTGGCTCGCCGAGCTCGCTCGGCCAAAGTGTAAGATGGCCTCAAGCATGCATCAAAGATGGTCAAGAGCAAGGCCAACACCTGTCTGGGTTTCCTGGGAGCGTCATCGCGATGCTTGAGACGCCCAGCACCGAGCTATTCCGGACGGAATGACTTGTTTCCAGACTCTTGATTTCTTTGGATGTCGGCTCGAGCGCCAAGCCCCAGGCGGAGTGACAAGCCGAACGGAGGAGAAGCGCTCAAGGAATTTCTCTAAGTCCCTTGGCCACATCCAAGGAGCATCATGCCCAGGCAGCGTAACGCTCAAGCCTGCGCAAGACGCTCTTGAACGAAAAGGATGTGGGTCAGCCTTCGTGGACGAGACAACAAGATCGCACCTTGTCGGATTTGATTTAGGGCCCCAAGCGCGCCGGCTAGATGCTGGTTTGCCCACCGCCCGTCGCCCCCAAGTTCTTGAGGCTTTTCGCGAGCTGCGGACTGCCAGCGGCGACCTGTGTTCGGAGGGCGACCTAGGGCGACTGTGCAGCGCGCTTCTGGCGCGCCGCCAAGGACCGTGAGAAAGAGTCGTGATGGATCAGCATCCTGACACCACAGACGGCAACTAACTTCCACTCTTTCCTCGCTGTTGCTGTCGTCGTCGTCGCTTTCCTCCTGTATTCGCTCTTTCTTGCGAGGCCAAGCCAGCCGCCTCGAACCTCCTCAATGCGTTCTTTAATACCACTTTCTTTGCTCCTCACTGTCCTTGACACGCCAGTACACGCCGCTGTTTTCCCCTTCACCGTCCGCTTCGGTCACCCAGCACCGTCTTCACTCCATCGTCGAGCACCCGTACCCATCGGCAACACAGGAAACGCGCAATATGTCAGTAATATCACCATAGGAGGCGTCACGCTCCCAGTGCTGCTCGACACGGGCAGGTATGTGGGGCATCTCAGCAACGGATCCTCTCTAACGCACTCTCGCCAGTTCTGACCTATGGGTACACTTCCCCAAAGAAGTCCCTACTATGACAGATACCGGTACTGAAGTATCGCTGTCTTATGCTGTTGGAAAGGCCACTGGTGCGTGTTCTCCGGTCCTCTGTTCCGTTGTCTCACACTTCATCTAGGTAATGTTCAACTCGCCGATGTGTCACTTGGTACCATTACAGTTCAAAATCAAGTCTTGAGTGCGTCTTCTCGTCGGATACATTGATGCCCTATCTGATCGCCCCTCCAGTACACGTTGTCGACACAAGTACATTCACCTCGGACATCCATGCCCAAGGTTACGATGGTCTTATTGGTCTTGGCCCGAACGAAAGTAGTGTCATTCGGAAAAAGATGAAGAAGGCCGATTCTTCAAACACCCTCGTTCAACGCGTCTTCGAAGCCAATCGATCCACAGAGAACTATATCACCTTCCTTCTCGACCGGAAAGGAGATCCGGGCGAGCAATTCAAGGGACAGTTCACCATCTCTGAAATTGTGCCCGGCTTCGAAAACATTACAAGCATGCCTAAGCTTGATGTCGATAAAGTCAATCGGTTATTGAAAGCAGGTTTGTCTTCACTTTTTGCAGGGGTTTAAATCTAAGTTGCTTACTCTCTTCCGTCAGACCAACATTGGCAAGCCTTGACTGACGAGGATAATGGCATCATTGGACCCGACGGAAACGCCGTTACGATCGACTCTATTGTCCCGGGTGCTCCAGAAGGCCAATTCGTCGCTGTTGTTGATAGCGGGTGTGTATCTTGATCGTCTATCTTCTACATATCTCTTGACGGCCGCGGTTTCCAGTTTCACCTTTTCTCAAGTTCCTCGCGAGGTTTCGGATGCAATCTATGGTCGAGTACGGGGTGCCTACTATGACGAAAAGAACGAATGGTGGTTGATTCCTTGTGGACAATACCTCAATATTTCCTTCAACTTCGGTGGTCGCAACTACCCTATACACCCTCTTGACGTTGTCGACGATAACTTCTCAAGAGTTGATCCCACAGGAAAGAAAGTTTGCATCGGAGCTGTATGTCCTCCAAGTCATCTTTCGTCCGTAAATGCCATTTACGAACCTTTGGTTTAGTTCCAACCCATTACCTCTGCATTCAGTGTCCTAGGACATTATGACATGATTCTCGGCATGAGTTTCCGTAAGTCGACTCAATTTTGCAGCCATTATCTCTCAGGATTCTTACTTGCTTATATTTACCAGTTCGAAACGCCTACACTCTTCTCGACTTTGGCGATTGGATCAAGAACTCGGCCGACAAGGAGCATCCTTACATCCAAATGGCCTCTCTCACCAACGTCGAAGCCGCCCGTCAGGACTTCATTCAAGTACGCCTGGGAGGCAATGCCTCCGCCATCGACGACGCCCGTTGGACGCTCCTGCCGGTGGATCAGATGCAGCACTCGCCCATCTCCGCAGAGGAGAAGAAGAAGAAGTACCAAGAGATGATCCTGAGCCGCTGGCCGTACATCTTCGTCGGCTGCCTCGTGTTGGTGCTCATCATGATCGGCCTGTGCGTCTGGAAGTGCTGCTGCAAGCGCCGCGGCAACAACAACAACGCTGCAGGCGGGGCTAAGAAGGACTTCTTCTCGCGGGGTGGTGGGGACAGCGGGAAGGGCGATCACCTGGAGAGCGGCCCGCGAGACTCATATGCCCCGCTTGGAGGAGAACGCAGCGTGGGTGATCTGTCGAAGAACCCGTTCAGCACGCCTAACAGCTCGCACTACAACCTCAACTCGCCGTCGCAGCAGCACCTAAACTCGCCCTCGGGGTACGATTTCCAACACGCGGCGCCACCGTACACTGCATACCCACCAGACTATGGAAGTGGGCACCGCCAAAGCGGGTACCAAGACAATCGTCATTAAGTCTAAGCCCTTCCACCACCTATCTACCCTTCACTAACAGTGTTTTGATAATGAACTGTTCACGGTGGACTACTGGTTCTTCGCATCGCCCCTTTTTTGCATATTTAATTTACAGCAGTGGTCTCTATTCCCGTCCCACTTTTAGTTTCGGTCTTTCTTCACGTATCTGGCATGACAGCACATTCTTACTCTTACTCTTTCACAACCCTCCTTCGCTGAGCGATGATTTATGAAGTAGCATAATTACATAAATTCCGTGTGTATCGATTAAGCCAGCGCTCATCTAGTTAGTTTGAGAAAGAATGAACTGTAAATGATTCGTGAAATCGTAAGTGGAGATCCAAGGTAGAAATGTTAGTGGCAAGGTAAGTAACCAGACAAGTCGTTAACACAGTCGAAGATCAAGAGCATTTAGTTAGATGACCACAGATTCCTCAACCATCCCTCAACGGCGACCAATTTCTGGTAACCTGCGTTGCCCGTGAATCCTCCTACGACAAGCGCAAAGTGCGCCACACACACTGCAGCAGTAGGAAATGAATTTCCGCAAGCAAAAGCAGCAGAAAACAAGTGCTCACCAGCAGCAATAACGGCAGCTACCTGGGATACTGAGTAGGCCGTCTCAGAGGAGGGCTTGCTAGCCTCGGCCTTTGACTCTTCCTTACCCTCAGCCGCTTCATCACCGACAAGGCTGAATAGTCCTGTATTTAGGACGAAGGCACGACTTGCTTCCTCCACGACTGAAGCTAACGTGATGGAAGACGATCAGGACGCCTGAACCTCGGAGCTAAGCGGGAATGAACTCACCTTTCACTTCTGGCCCCTGCGCCCCAGCCGTGTTCATGCCCTCCCGGAACCACTCCTTGATCCGCTTCATTTCACCCTGCGAAGCCGGCTTCGATGTGCGCAGCTCCTTGAACGCGTAGAACGACACGCCCAGTCCAGCCGCTTCATCGAGCCCATACGCTTTCGCGATCGTATGCCTAATTGTTTGGCCGCCGCTGAGGTCGCCAAGGTAGCGCACGTACGCGTGGGCCAGGAGCGGCGACGGATCTGGCGAGTCGGCGATTTCGTGCAGGCGCCGCAGGTAGTTGAAGAGCGGCTTGGGATCGGACGCGAGGAGCTGCTTGTGGATCGGGTGTTCCTTCCAGTCTTCGGTTTCTAGGAGGAACGCAATGTCCGCCGAGAGGTGAGGCGCCCGCGCGAGCAGCGTTGGGTTGTATGTGGGCTCGAGCGTCGGGTGTGTGGCATGTCGGTCTAGGCCTCGCTCGATACCGCTGCGTGCGCAGAGCCTCTGTCAGCACGCACGTAGGCGTCATGCACGATGGCGGGACTCACTCGTATACGTGCCAGAGCATAATGAGGAAGCGCACGTAGTCCTCCTTTGACAGATGCCCACTGAGGAGCCGTCTGGCGCCCGCGCTCGTCTCTGCCTCCTCGTGCACTTTCTTCGTCTCCTCGCGGAGCAATGTGGCTAGCGGTCTTGAGTAGTCGATGGCCATCGCGTTCAACTGAGGTAGCGCTTGGTGTTAATGGGGGGTGAAGGTGGAAAGCAAGGAAGGTGGCCACGTAAGTGGGGATGGCGTGCTGGTGGTGGTATAAAGGAGCACTGCCGGGGTGTTGTAATCCCAGTTAGGTGTCCTGAAATACGGGAGTCTTTCTGACGCTTGCGCTATTGCAACCCAGGAAACCGGGTTGATATAACGCTTGCCCGGAGCCTCGTCCGTGCCTAGCCATCTTATCTGATAAACAAATGACTTGGCGTGACTTGCGGCATCATCTGCTGATCATGATTATCAGATTATACCTCAGCTCGGAAAATAGTGTCGACAAGGATTACAGCTAGATTTCCAGAGACAGTCTATTTAGTGGTACAAATTGCTGGGCGGGACAAAAAGCAACTCCAGTATGCGAGAGAATATCGAAGGTCATAAGCAACATGGAGGGACAAGGGAAGCGAAAGCGTCATATCGTGTGTCTGTGGCTGATCGTCCAGAACTATGCAGGGCAGGGTGTCCGCAGGTCACAAAACACCCGGAGATTCAGCAGAGAATAACTAGACACAAGACCCGTCAGCATGGGACTCATCACGCCAACATACAGAAATCTAGACGACTCACATGCTCTACTTTGACTTGCGTCGTGCTCGGGGTGGGAGGAATGGAGTTTGAACGTTGGCGGGTTATGATCTTGATAGGCGAAACGGAGTTTGGTTTCGCAGCAGCAGCCTTCTCAGCGTATTCATAGTCTGAGTCAGCCTCGTCTTCTTCGTCCTTCTTGACACCAACGAGGACGCCCCCTCCGATTACACGCCAGGGAATGGGAAAGTAGCTTTTCCGTTCGCCTTCTTCGTTGCTGGAGGAACTGAACCTGGAGTGCTTCGCGGGCGACGCGATAATTGGGTAACCCTCATCATGGATACTAAAAAAAAGTAATGAGACAATCGAATACCAGAATAGCGAATAAACTGACAAGGTGCAAGTTGTCCCGTTGGGGCAGCCCTTCTCGGTTGGGAAGAACTTGCAAGGCTTTGCTACAAGACAACAAGAAAAGTAATTAGTATTCTAATTCTAGACATGAAACAAAACAAACAAACTTTTGTACTTCAAGATCTTTTGTTTCGAGATTGGCTTCGCGCCTGTGTGGGGCTTCATGGATGGCGGAAGCATCAGGTTTCCCGCCATCCCACCATAGCTGTAGTTGTAAGGTGAAATTGGCGATGTGGGGGAGTACACTCCGTTCAACGTTGGGTAAAATGGTGGGACGTGTATGACGGGCGAATCGTCCGCGATGCAGACCTGCGACTGATGTGAGTGAGAATGTTCACTATACTTCGGGTCGTTCGTCACGACGATAACATCGTCAGAATCTACACTCGAGAGTGAGGTTGCAGTGTCGATGGAGTCACGGGAGCGTGTAGGTGCGGAGAAGAGCATGGAGTTTCGGGTGGATGGGAAAGAGTTGGCTGGGGAGTAGAGGGAGGGGGACCACATGTAAGGATTATAGCCACCATAGGTAGGGCTCTCGGGGTAGTTCTTGTTTATTCGGGGGAGCTTAGGTGGGGACGCCACAAACACTAGTCGGGAAATACTTACGGGGTTGGCTGACGTTCCTGCCCAGTCGGCGATCCTCTCTGTGTACTTCGGTGGCTCATAGCGCGACGTCGGCGAGCCTATATCCTGATGTTCAAACTGTATGTCTTAACGAGAGTTTTGCATGACGTACCTGGATGGTTAAACCTGCATTGCACACCACTCGTGCACCTTCCCACAGAATAATACTTGCACGACGTCGGCAACTTCTCCTCTGGGGTGGCAGGAATTGGGCCTGCCATGACGTGCGCAAAGTCGCAGACCTCCGCAGAGTGCGGGCACTTGTTAACCTGGAAATATCTGCATGGTTTGGCTAGTAGATATCATTGGCCACGGTTAAAAATGAAGATAAACGCTGCGAAACTCACTGTGTCGCTTCTTCTGAGACTTTCGAGACATGATCAAGCTGGACTTTCCTCGCGCTTGACAGAAGCAGGGAGAAGCGTTGTCGTATGGGCGTCGAGGACGCACACAATCAGAACAAGAGTGCGAGCGTGGGCGGTTACGACCAGTTCACTTTTATGTTGTCCAACACAAGGTGGACTTATCGGTGGTAGGTTTCAACAATGAGATCCTTGGCCGAGAGCCCGTGGAAGGAGGAGAGAGAGGGCCAAAGCATGGCGAACAGCCGTGCCGTGACCCAGTGCCATTAAAGTTTGCCCCCACGAGGAAGTAGGCCACCCGTTTCTGGGGCAAAAATATTAGAATTGGATCAGATTCTGCATTCCAGGGAGGCAGAGAAGTCGCGGTCCAGGATAGTGACAACAATAAGGCGGAGGGCCAAACGTGCTGTAGGGTGTGACTTTGCGGCGTTATTCCAGCTTGCGAATAGGGAGTTGACCCAAAATCTGATGGGTTTATTGTTGGCAATAGAATCGCTGAGCGTGTTCCTGGTCTTATTGTTGTAGGCCTCCACTAATCATTCGACGTCTTCCATATCCGGGAACGAGACAGTTTCAAGAATTTCGTCTAAACGACATCTTATAATTGGAAGTGGGTGATATCTCCTTGTTGACGGTTCTTGACGTTGAACCTCCATGTCGGGGGAGGGTGCGAGCTTCAAAACCAACCTCGAAATAAGCCTCGCGTCGTTCATACACGGATGGAACCACGGAATCTTTGCACCATTAATCCACGCGTAACAGGACCTCATATTGTCCTCGCAAAAATCCCAGTCGGCGAGCGTGGGTCGCAGCGTGCATCGAGAGATTCGCTACCGTAGCGTGGTTAACCCGAAGCCGGGCAGCAAACGTCGAAGTATCCAGGTGAGAAATAGGACGAAATGTCTTTTCCCGCGATTTTTGAGCAAAGATGAACAACAGTCGAGGTCGGCCCGGAGTAAGGTCACAGAGGATGGACAAGCTAGGAAGGCTGAAGGAGGTGGGGTTAACGCGAAGCCTCGCACCTGGATCGCGAAAGACAATAAGAGCACATCAGGTGACGTCGTCAAGTCTCCACGTGTTTAGCCCCTTACCTCAAGATAAGATTAGATTAGATGGAAGAGTTTTGGCGCCCAACACGAGGCTACTGGGTGTACTATGCTCCTCGGTGACCATGAAAGCCGAAACGATCATCCTGAAAAAGTCGGATGGATCTACTTGGCTCGCCGGTACTAGACGAGACTACGACAACAGGACAACAGTACCAAGACCCGAAAGGGCTGACAATTATCCACAATATCATCAGGAAAAGCTGCTATCATCCTGCATACATTCAACGCCGAAGCGGGGATAGGCCATCTGGGTGAAAGACGGAAATGAATTTAATTCAACAGTTTACACAATAAAGAGCTGATGAGCTGAGTCCCAGATTATCAGGTATAATGGTACAGACGGTGCAATTGGGATAATAATCAAGAAGTACAAAGCAAGTGCCTACAAAAGGTCATGAACGTGAATGTCGTAAGAGGCTATGGCTGTTCCTCGCGGTCATTGCTGGGTTGAACTTGAAGCAGAGGTGTTCGTTCCGTTGCGTTGGTCAAGGGGGCCGGTCTGAGTGACGGTGGCGTGTCGGGATGTTCGTTTTGTTCAGCAGGGTCTGACGCTGGGGACGCGGAGAGGCTGGGATGGGGTTGTGTGACGTCTGCCTTGCAAACAGGACACTAAACGGCAGGCAGAACGTTAGATGAGGTCATAGCCAAGTAGGCACGCCATACCAGTTTCTTCCGTTGTATGAGCCATTCATCGACTTCGTTCAGGTGGAAGATGTGGTGGCAGGGCAACACCCGGACCTTGTCGCCTTTCTCGAACTCCGACAGACAAATGGCACACTCCAACTGAGATTCAAACCACGGCTGGTTGACCGGGTGTACGGGAGGAAGAGACGAAGAAGCGTCTTCTGCTTCAACCGGTTTCGGGGTATCGCTGGTAGCGTCTTTAGCCGGTAAACCTTCCTCCAGGTCGACTTCAGCAGAGGGACGTTCTGGAACTGAAGAGGGATCCTCGCCGCGTTCGTGCTTCTCCCAACCTGTCCCAGTCCAGACTCGCCAAGGCAAATTCCTGACGACATCCTCTGGCGCACGATCACGTTGGGCAGCGCGTGCAGCGCGGACTCGATGAATAAGAAGAGTGATGAATGTTAGAGCAGACGGTAGAAGCAGAATAACGATGAACGTGATGATAGGTCTAAAGGGGTCATCAAGCTGTAAAGTTCACATAAGCACAGTCCACTCACGAATACCACTCCCAGGCTGAATACTCCGCGGTGATGAGCAACGATAAGGTCCGTAATCCAGAATGGGTCGTATTGGATTCTGAAATGAGGCCATAGAGTTGCATGTAGTCGGAGTATTTGATGTACGTCGCCGCTATCTTGACATCAGACGAGTCTTCTGTGGAGCGGGTCAAACATCTCCTTTCCCCTCCCAGTGCATATAGCTGCTCACCAGGACTATACATATTGACCAACGTGTCTGGATATCCAGAAGTATCGGGGTTATCCCCTCCAACGACGACTGCTTTCGCTCCGAGCCTCTGCGCCTCGCGCACTTTCTTAACAAACTCGCATTTTCCACGTTGCACGAGCGCAATCCAGGGTTCTGTGGGCTGGTGATCTCCATCGATGCAGAGGTCGGGGCACCCGTTATTCTGGGAGGCTGCGCGTAGGGTGTCGTTACGAGGACATTGCACAGTAAACGAGGACATGGGGATAACATATCCTAGAAGCGGATCATTTATCTCAGCACCGAAGGCCGCTGCAAAGTATAAGTTCAACCTATGAAAAAGTCACGAACAATACAAGTACAGCACCTGGTCTCGAGTGAAACGACACCACGGGCGAACGGTCGATGACCGACACCGTGCTCTCCGAGCCCCACGCCCATCCCCACAGCCAGGTGCGCTCGGATTTCGCGCTAAACCCAGAGTTATCAGGAAGCAATTCGAGAGGCTGAGCGATGGTAAAGTACAGCAGGGCACTAATGTATGACAGGCAGAGCAGACCGACGACCATGTCGCTGTACAGGATGGCCGTCGACGTCGATGAAGATGTTTGCTGTGTTGTGTAGGTCGGTGGCCGCAGGAGCAACGTCGATATAGGAGGATGCTTGGCATGATGCACGTGCTTCGTGTCCCATCATTCTAGCCTATTCTAGCCTGATCCGGACTTTCCCATGCCGTCGGTGGGGCAGGCATCGCAGAATGTCGCAAAGACGCCCATCGAAACAACTTGGAAGAACTTCAAGCTGCTCAAAATTCTCATAAGAGGTACATTCAGCGTGATATATTGCTAACCCCGACCACCCGAGAAACCGAATGATTTGTCGGAAGTCATCATCCAGTACTTCTGCTTCTTTCACCAAGTCCAATCGTAGGTCGGCAACGACGAGTGGAATCTTCATCGTGATTGCGCCATTCGACCAGTAATACTCCACAGAAAATTCTGATTGAAACTCCTTATCGTCGCGATTCTTGCGTTTTCTGACCTCGTAGGTTTTTGGTCATCTCCTCCCAGTGGCGTTTTCTGGTCTTAATCACGAGGAATCAGCGTGAGCGACCAAATCTGTCCTTTTGAACGATTTTTACTTGCGCATTTGTCATCGTGGAGCACAGGACGTGTGTTTGGAAGAGAACGAACAAAAAATATAGACACGCGACATTATTGACAGCGGCCACCTGGCTGCCACGCGACCGAGGATGTGCGATATGTGCCTCGCGGAACGAAGGTCGGATAGATGTGTCGGAGTCGTCGGACATGAGCTTCAGAGAAGATCTAGCCTAGTTTGAACGTGTGCGGCGTACTGAGGCCCTGGTTATCCACTTTGGATAGCCAGAGCAAACTGGAGCAGTCCTTCTAGAATGTAACAAAAGACCCCTAGGACAGGGCGGGGGTGGGGTAGACCTGGGGAACGTGGAGAAATGGGACCTTTCCCCGGCCCCAGGTCGACAAAGATCGTGCCATGGCACCGATCTTATCGAAGAAAAATCGGAAACCGGTCAACAGAACAGGAATAACGGCCGTAAATTTCAAGCTGATTGACTTGATTCAGATGCAAAGCTGTACCGCATCGACCACTCCAAAGAAGATCCGACAGATAATCTGAGCACGACCAGGAACATGATGAAACTTGCTCTCTCTCCAGCTGTTCTTATGGGGTCTGAGAAGCCTGAAAAACAGGCCTGTGATGCGTTTTGTCGTGGAGAAATGGACAGAGGTTTAAAATTGGTGGCGTTAGGACATCTGATGTCCGAAACGGCCAATGACAAGTGAAGCGCCGGTCAGCCACATGGCAGCCACGTTATTTTCGAAGACACCATCTTCCATCCAACCATACTGAGAGCCCGAAACAGGCGCAGATTTACTCATCGGTCCCACGTCTTAAGTGGAGATACCTTTCTATTCGTCAGGAATTTGGGTCATGAGGTAAACCGAAGGGGTATTTGCGTCTCCAGTTGGTCTCCAGGGGCCATAATTGCGGGACGTCTTTGGATTTCTCGGGCGCCATCGATCAGAAATTCAGCATAGAGGACCGGATACGAGCAAGTCACCGAGGATTCTGGTACAGGAGAGGACGAGAGGAAGTGCGCGCGAAGAGTACAAGCCGAGAAAAAGAAGTCTAACTCCGATGACATGGTGGTTAGAATGTTGTTGGCGAGTTGAGGTTTCAACACCAGGTCAACGAATTGAAGTCCACGTTCAAAACAGTATCAATCAAGCGATATTCAGTAGGCAGATATGCACGAACAGAAAGGTAATTCGGGAGGTAATTGGAGAGGGAGGCTGAGTCGCTGACGGAGTCGGATCTGAGGAGGTGGAGTCGTGGGAAGTTTCTCAGGAGGTTCCTAAAAAGGGTACGCCAAGTGACCGCCACATGTTGACGAGTCTTGTGACACCTTGACCTCCTCCATCGCTCAAGGCCGACTCACGCACCGATACTTGCGCTTTTCACGATTGAATGAAATAACCAGTAAGCACTTCGGCGTCTGTCGTGTCCTCCCCGAGGAACGAACAAGGTTTTGATGATCAAGCCACGTTTTAGACAGACCTTCATCGAGGGACGCTCCAGGACGTCGTAAAGTCCGTTTGCTGGTCGTGAATCGGCCGGGCTGTTTCTGCTCGGCAGGTTCAGTGACTCATGATATCAGAAGACGTGCAAGGACACATCGCACTGTCGACCAGTTTTGCGTGAAAACCGTTCAAGAGGGCACATCTGCGTGAGGATTCGAATCAACCCAAGAACTGGACAGTGTCAGTTGACGAGCCAGGGTACCGCCGTATGTGGATGCACGTTTTGAGATTATGTCCCAACAGACGCGTCCCGATCTGACGGCTAAGCCGCCAATGCCACGCGCTCGCTCATTTACTCCATCACTTCTTATTGGATTTATCGTGTCGATCTCCGTCGGTCTGTTTTTGAACTTTCCATGGACATATTCTCGCTGGACAGCCCATATCGAGAACTTGGTGAAGGAGTATAAAGAGGAGGTGGTGGGCTTCTGGTTCCTCACACTCAACCGTATCTGAGTGCTCTCTCTTCCTTCCATGCGCTCTCTCCTCGTCACCGGTCTCGCCTTCATCACTGCGGCGTTCGCTCAGTCCGCCGCGGTCGATGCATGGATTGCGACCCAGTCCCCCATTGCAAAAGCCGGCGTAATTGCCAACATTGGACCCATCGGTTCCAAGTCCTCTGGCGCTCTAGTATGTATTTGCTCCTGTCCTTTTATTTTTCTGCGTTGCTGATTATTTTGTGCTCTAGGCTGGAATTGTCATTGCTAGTCCTAGCACTTCGAACCCGGACTACCTTTACACTTGGACCCGTGACGCTGCTTTGGTCTACAAGGCACTTATCGACCAGTAAGCCCCTTCATATCCCTTTTTTTAAATCCATGTTGACATATGTGCAGATATACCCGCGGCGAAGATACTTCCCCCAGTCTTCGCCTCTTGATCGACCAGTTCGTCGAGTCCCAGAGAATCCAGCAGCAAGTTTCCAACCCCAGTGGCACCGTCTCCTCTGGCGGTCTCGGTGAACCCAAGTTCCACATCAATTTGGCCCCTTATACCGGCGGATGGGGAAGGTAAGCATATGTTTCTTCGGCGTTTACAGATTCTGACTCTTTCTGTTTTAGGCCCCAGCGAGGTGATTGCCGAGGCGGTACTCGATTACTCCGTTTATGCTGACTCATCCCCAGATGGCCCTGCCCTTCGCGCCACGGCTTTGACCACCTATGCGAACTGGCTTATCCAAAATTCCAACACCTCGTTCGTGACCAACAGCATTTGGCCCGTTCTCAAGTTGGACCTCGACTACGTCGCCAACAACTGGAATCAGACTGGGTACGCCTTTTTCACCTTCTCTTTTATGAAGTCATGAAAACTGAGGGCTCAACAGCTTCGATCTCTGGGAGGAAGTTTCATCAAGCTCTTACTTCACTACCGCCGCTCAGCACCGTGCCCTCCGTGAGGGTGCCGCCCTTGCCAGTGCCATTGGTCAAACCTCCGTTGGTTCTGGTTACACCACCCAGGCCAACAATGCCCTCTGCTTCATGCAGGTCGGTGAATTTTCTTCATGCAATTCCTACGATATTGAATTTCCCGCTAGTCGTACTGGAACCCCTCTGCCGGCTACATGACCGCCAACACTGGAGGAGGACGCTCCGGCAAGGACGCCAATGCCGTGCTCTCGTCCAACCACAACTTCGATGCCACCGCCGTCTGCGACTCCGTCACCTTCCAGCCGTGCTCCGACAAGGCCTTGTCCAATCTGAAGGTCTACGTTGACTCCTTCCGCTCTATCTACGCCATCAACTCCGGAATTCCTGCCAACTCAGCTGTTGCTACTGGTCGCTACCCTGAGGATTCCTACTACGGCGGAAACGTATGTTCTTTTTTGCGCTCTAGAGCTAGCGACAATCTTCTAACTTTTCTTTTTTCGATAGCCCTGGTATCTCACCACCACTGCGGTCACTGAGCAGCTCTACAACGCCCTCACCGTCTGGAAGCAACAAGGCACCCTGAACGTCACCGCCATCTCCCTGCCCTTCTTCCAGCAGTTCTCCCCCTCAGTCGCCGTCGGCTCCTACGCCAGCACCAGCACCACTTTCACAACGCTCACGACTGCCATCCAGAACTACGCCGATGGTTTCATCGCCGTCGTTCAGAGGTACACTCCTTCCAACGGAGCTATGTCCGAGCAATACACTAGGGCCGCTGGCGTGCCCACCAGCGCTTCTGACCTGACCTGGTCGTACGCCGCCCTCCTTACTGCTATCGCTGCTCGCCAGGGTGTCATCCCGCCCAGCTGGGGTGCTGCCGGCCTCGTTGCCCCTGCCGTTTGCGGAGGTGGTGGCGGAGGCGGAGGCAGCGGTGTTGCTGTTACCTTCAACGTCCAAGCCACTACCGTCTGGGGAGGTGAGATTGCATCATTGGACTGTCTTCCAGCGATTTTCTGACTCGCCCTTCAGAGAACATCTACATCACTGGCTCGGTCGGCGAGCTCCAGAATTGGTCCCCTGACAATGCCCTCCTTCTTTCCTCGGCTAACTACCCGACCTGGAGCAGTACGTGCATTTTATGGCGCATTCTGTACTCGATTGACTAAGCCCTTTCCTACAGTCACCGTCAACATCCCTGCCAACACCTACTTCGAGTACAAGTACATTCGCAAGTTCAACGGTGCCGTCACCTGGGAGTCCGACCCCAACAGGTCCTTCACCACCCCGGCCTCCGGCACCTACACTCTCACTCAGTCCTGGAAGTAAACTCTCCATCTAAAACCCTCAAGTGCTTCAAAGAGTGTTCTGCGCCGGAAAGAGAAAAAAAAATACCAAAATGGATATCCAGGTTTCGTTTATTAAGTTAGCTCTTGTTTTATACAAATGGCTCTCTCAGTGTGTATCATTCCCGTCGACTGCGCCTCTCGTGTCCGTAGAACCCTGTAGCTTTTATGAATTATCGAGTGTGTTTCCTCCGAACATTACTTCTGGGACCGAGCCAAGAAGAATGCGACACGGGCGAAAAGCAGGGAGAAAGTAGCCTCTACAAGTGGTGTCCTTGGCGATTATCTGACTCTCCTTTCTAAGAGCCAAGTCTGGCGCTCATGGTCCTCGAATTACCGGATGGAGTTGCTTAACTGCGGCGCATCTCCTTAACATGCAGAGTCTAGCTAGTAGTTGGGCCCTAGGCACACAATTTTTTCCGAGAATATCTAGAGAATTAAGTCCTCGGTAGACGGTAGAGGCACTGCACTTAGTCTATTGAACGGATGTGATATAAATGCAAGGGGATAGTGACCTCCGCATCCCCCGTATTCTAGTCAAGAATTACAAGAGAAGGGCTGATCGTCCGTTTACTGAAGGTCAAGAAACAAGATGAGTTTGGTGGACTATTCAAATCTGATGCTAGTAAGCAGTGTTTAAAATTGGGGTCAATATGATATGTTAATTTCGCGCAGAGAGTTACAAGAACGACAACTACCGACATTACACTGCCTCACCAAAAAGATTGTCCACTCATGTTTGGGCTATGGTCTGAAAACGGCTTGGGATGGGCCTCCAAAAAAATGTAGATAAAATATTAGACACGTAAAGCACTTGGATGATTCTAAAGCCTGCAAACTTCGAGCAGTCCTGATAGGTAGTGTCGAGGGACAACAAATGCTATTTTCCCAAGTTTTCAACCCCTGAAGCTATCTTGCTGCAAAAAATATATTGTGAAGTACATGATAGCAAAAGCGAATCCCAATTTTATTTACAACTTTTTACCAAGTGGTTCCAAAGCTATGTGTGCTACAAAGTCTTCGTTTTGGCCCTTTTTAGGGTCTTGTTTCCTTTTTGGGCTCAAAATGGCCACATTCATTGGCGTATAACTTTTGAACCGCTCAGCGAAATTATGTAAATGAAGTTTGTATGAACTTTGACTATCCCATACTATAATTTATAATTTTTTGAGCATGACAGCTTGTGGGCTTGAAAAACTGGAAAAATGGCTTTTTTTGTCCCCCCAACACCACCTATCAGACCTACTTGAAATTTGCGTGCTTTGGGATCATCCAGGTGCTTTACATGTCTGATATTTTATCCGTATTTTTTCAAAGGCTCAACCCAAGCCGTTCTCTAGCTACAGTGCAGACAGGTGGACAATCTTTTTGGTGAGTCAGTGTAACTTGAAAGGGTCAATGGCCGTCCGACGTCCAGGGTCCTCACCAGGGATCCTCCACGTCCAGAGGAATAGCAGGAAATACCAGTTCCTTATCTTCTCTCCTTCGACAAGCACAAAATCCACAATAGTTAGATACTTTGAGATATTCTGATACTACAATCCTCGCGCGTACATACACCAATTTTACGAACTTGAGGGACCTTTCAGGTCAGAAAGTCCTCTTCTGTATCTTCTGCGATACCCCTTTCTAATTCTGAATCAGAGGAATGGGGGGATGTCCACCTTCGTCGTTCAAAAACGTCAGCATTACCTTCTGCTCGTATGATCCTAAGAAACACCTATCATTAACATACAGTTCCTCCACGAGGGGGAGAGGACTCACGAATCGAAGAGGCTCAGCGTCCGCCTTTCAGAGTCATCTTCTGAAGGGCCATCACGTATCCCGATTCCCATCAGTGCAGAGAGGTAAGATACACGATCTTCCTCTGCATCCGCGTCATCTAGCTGTCGAACTTCTGCCGGAGAAAGAGGTAAATTCTCTGTGCAAGGAGATGACGGCGTTGGACTATGGAGCAAGACGTTCTTTTCTACACCAGCAGTGACGACGTGTAAAAAGTGTGGATGGAAAACAATGGTGTTGACAATGGAGTCGTGGCCTAGGAGGCAATATTAACATCAGGTGGGACTAAAGGCATGAGAAGGTGCTTACCAGTCAACCTACACCACGGAGTTGAAATTTCAACTGGAAGGATCTTGGTATCTAGCCGACCCTCAGTAAATGCTGAAGGTTTTTGTAAGATTTCCGGCGAAGAGCACAAGGTCATGACAGCGCACCAACTGAGGAAGCATCGTAGACAGCCCAATCATGCGCCGATATCGTCTTTCTCTGCTCCTGCAGCTGTCTAACGGATGGTATCTTCCAAATATATGCGTAAAAGTCATCGGAACCCCCAGCATACATGTCGTCGATATCGAGGCCCGGCCCTCCGAAGGCACCATGCTTCGCAAAACGACGTCATTTATAAACGATTACTTATGGAAAGAAGACAGCACTCACTTTCATTGTACATGAGTTGGAATAACCCCTTTGCCCTGGCGGAAGTGGGGTGCCATCAGGAAGACGTTGTCCGCTGAGGACAGCGATAGGGTTCGGGTCAGAAATTGAATATATGGTTGGCAAGTAGTGCTACACAAACGCTGGTCAGATACAGGAAGTACACAGAAGAGTCAGAAATACCGTGAAGGTAACCGCGATTCGCGATCCTGAACAAGCGAATGAGGAGGTGAATAAGGGGCAATTAGAAACGTTACTTACCATCACGGTCGAAAGTGACGCTACTGGATTCAGGATTGCTCAAATACTTCGCCGCTGCTTTGGCGAGTTTCGTGTTATACTGAGAAACAACGACCGTCAGTCCTCAACCTGGAACAGGATGCGATCCTGAATACCGTTTGGACGACACCTTCCCCGCTCCTCTTCAACATTGCCCCAAACGACATCCGGGTATCACGCAGACAGACTGCTCCCCACCCATCACTCGTGACGAACAGATTGTCCACTGTTGGGTGGTATTGAACAGAAGTGACTTCGTTCTCTGTCTCGATCACCTCCTGCATCAGTCTCTGGGGCGATGGGTTCGGCTGGCGACAATCATGAAGTCGGATGGTGCCGTCTTCACTGTATAACCGAAAAATCACGTCGTCAGTTTCATTGCAACTAAAACAGGGCCAACATACCTGGCACTTATAAACAGTTCGTCATGCGTCGGGTGGCACGTTACTGCACGGATACTTTCCTGAAGGTTGTGATCAGTCGTGAGACGCTGAAGGTGGCAGAGACAGGGAGCTCACAGAATGATCGCGAAATACCTGGTCCACGGCAGCTGGTGCAAGCGAAGGAACCGAGGTACCGATATGGCCGACATCGTACTTCAATATTCGCTCAAACGTTCCGGCGCTGAACGGCGCAGTGTTAACACGAGTGGAGCAGCAACAAAGAAGAGCCTTACCAGAGTAGGTACTTGTTCGTCGCTGAGAACGCGAGGCTAAATATGTTTCCCTAGCAGAGAAGAATCAGAGGTCGTTAAATGCAATTGGTGGCATGAAGTTTACTTTGATGCCTCTCAGAGCAAACGAGGGTTTCTTGACGTCCTCCTGATGGAAGTCCCACAAATATATGCGAGGATCTAGAACGTACGAGCACGATAGTGAGTTGACAGCAGGCAGAGGTCGGAAAACATACACACCGTCTCCTCCAGTGGCCAGAAACCTTCCATCGCCAGAAGAAAAAGCAAGCGAGTTGACACACGACTTGTGGGCTTCAAGTTTCCTGTATAAGCCACATTCCTCGGTCAGTCAACGATCTCCTGGTGCTTCTGTATGACAAGGCCTCCAAGGCTACAAGTACTGGCTCGCCAGTGCTCCCAATTTGCTCCTAATCCTGTTCGATACTCACCTTGAATAAGGAAACCCGTGTGCCTGATCCACAATCGCACTACTCAGCTCTCGCCTCGATGCCACCCCCTCTCTAAGACGCGCCACGGATGCCCATGCGCGAGGGAAATGTGTTGATATGGTCCCTCGGGACGGCCGGCGTCTAAAATCTAGGCTGCAAGGCGTCTGTAGGTCGTCTTGGGTGTTGAGATCCATTTACATCGATTTTAGGTTGACTTGAGGGGTTTATCAGGGTGCTTGGGCTGATTGTCGGGTGGGTGGAAAGTCATAGAGACACTCAGAGGTCAAGCTCTTTGTGAGACGAGATGGTCGAGCAAACTGGGAGGAAGAATTATAATACTATTCATGGGTGGTGCTGACGGCGTGACCCGAATTATAATTGCCTTGTCGG